TGTACTACTATTCTTGGATCCTATATGTAATAATAATAATAACAATAATCCTTGCATTTGATATAGTGCTTTTCACGTCTTCTAGATGTCTCAAAGCGCTTCACAAATTATACTGTAAAGTGAATTGACTGAAATATTTGTGGGCGAAATGTGACAGCCAATTAAGCACATCCACGTCCTATAAGCAGTCGTGGATTGATTGACCAAATTATTATTGTTTATTTTTCTTGAGAGATTATTATCAGGTGAGTGGAGTACGGAAACATGCCCAAGGTTTCGCCCTGCCAGGAATCAAACCCAGGTCTCTTGCTTGCAAGGCGAGTGCTTTAATCACTGAGCTACAGAACTTAACAACCTACTTTGTAGTAGCTTGCATTTATCAGTTTCAACAACAACAACAACAACAAGATTCCACTTATAGAGCGCCTTTCACGTCAGGAGGACGTCCCAAGGCGCTGCACAGTTGGGTCATGACCCGAGCAGGGGGGAAATGGTCAGGGTGAGGGGAGGGAAGGGAGGGAGAGAGGAGGGGGGAAATGGTCAGGGTGAGGGGAGGGAAGGGAGGGAGCGAGGAGGAGGAAGAGAGTCGAGAGGGGAGCTGAAGGCACGGTCAAAGAGAACTTCCTCTGCCAGTTACTGGCCCATGTGCATTCCCTACCAAACTCTCTTTGTAGGACCTTTACTGCCTCCTCTGATTCCACAATTCCCACCAATATGCTGTCATCTGCAAATTTAATCTTACACAAGGTCTGTGAATCAAAGTCATTAATATATCCAAAGAACAGAAGATGTCTCAGTACAGATCCCTGAGGCACCATGCTTAGTACCTCTCACCATTTTGACTTAGGTCCCTGAACAAAGACCTTCAGCCAATAATGAATCCACATCCATGTCTTGCAGTTGATACCCAGTGACAACAGTTTGTGAAGAAGTCTTTCATGCGGTACTTTGACAAAAACTTGTTTGCCAAAAGTCTAGATGTACTGCATCATATGGCTTCCCACAGTCGATTTGGGCTGTCGCCTCCTCAAAAAAGTCTATGAGATTGGTCAGACAAAACCTACCCTTTCTGAATACATGGCAGCTGTCAATTCTTAGACTATTTCTTAGAGATAATCTTCCACTTCCTTTCTAATCATTGATTCCATAATTTTTCCTATTAATGAAGACAGATTTATGGGTCTGTGGTTACCAGGTTTAGTTTTGTCACCCTTTTTGAATATGGGAATCGCTTCTGCTATCTTCCAGTCTATTGGAACCTCCCAGTCTGATTGACTCACTCTTAATGTCTGTCAGTGCTGGACAAATCTCCTGCACCCTGAGGTGCAGTTCAACCATCCCAGCATTTGTTAGTTTTAAGCCTATCCAGAATCTCAGTCTCCTTTATACCAGGAAGATTAGCAGATCGATTTCCGGGGGTAATACACCCTTAGAAAAATAAAATAATTTGATCACTCAATCCACGACTGGTTGTGGGACACTGGTGAGGCAGGAAGTAGTCATTTTATATTTTTGCTATCTCTTGTTCATTCTCTTTCTCAACCTCATTTGAATCCCTTAAATTTTTAAACATATTCCCTGACTACCCACTTACTATTATAATATTGAAAGAATTTTTTTAGAAGGGGTTATGTTTTGCATTTCGCCCACAAAATGTGCAGTCAGTTCACTTTGCAGTATATTCTGTGAAGCACTTTGAGACGTCTCAAAGTCGTGATAAGGAACTATATTAAATGCAAGGAGTATTATTTTTGCTGTAATGTCCCTTTCCAGTTTTCTCTTGGGTTCCCTAATCTCTTTATTAACTTTTCTGTACAGAATGTATTTCGCTCAATAGTCACCCTCTCCTTTCTCCCTGTAAGCTTTATAAATCTTCCAAGCAGCAAGCCAAAAAAAATTCAGATTCACCACAAAACAATTTAAATTGACACTTAACTTCTACAAGATAGCATAATTTATAAATTGTTTAATGGAAACAATTAGCTAAATTGGAATGAAGGAGAGGGGAGTTTTGCTTAAGGAGACTGACAAACACAAAGTGAATTCCAAGGTCGAAGTGCTGAGCTCTGGAACTGTGGGCCACTGTTTAAGCTTTTAAATAGGTTGACCCGCTGGATTGAAATAACTATAAATCAATGGACTTACAAGGAAGCTGCATTACCTCAGTGTAGTGAAGACACATGTTTGATAATGCGCTTATCGTGGTAATGAAGAAAGTATTTCATTCCTACTGTGTTTCCAATAACAATTTCTATTTTAATAGGGCCCCTTGCGTGGAGTGGTATCTCAGAGTGCTTTACAATATATTCTTTACAGTAAAAGTTTCTTTACAACAATAAAGCTTTATGGGGGCAAAAATCCTTTTTGATGCTAGCACTTGAAGTCTGACAATGCTCAATTCGAATATTTACGTTTCCTATCCGGGGATAAAAATTCCGTTCAGCATTGTGCACATCACTTTTGGTGATACCAATGTTTAATGGGATTTTCCTCTTTAGGTGTGTATCACCAAAGGCACTGTGCGACCTCCTGAAGACGATTGTTTTCCATGTGCGTGCTTGCTGTCTATCAATAGATTTAGTGACTGAAAAAGCTTCAAACCCCTCACTAGAAATGCAAGTTGTTGTTTTCAAGAGGAAACTAGATACATATTTAAAGAGTAATAATTACTGGACTTGAGAAGTTAAAGGTATCAATGGAAATGGAGAAAAGCGGGGTGGGGGCAAAGATAAACATTCTTCAGGTCATTTCAGTAGTTATGCTTAACATCATTTGAAAAAGTGGGTTCAGAGGAACAGTCAAGAGTCTTTTAGTTTGCTGTCCTCCAGCCTGCCGCAAGCCGTCACTCACCCCTGTGACTTTCCTATCAGGTCTGTCTTCACTTTGGGCTGAAGTACTCGACTATCTTTTCACTTAGCCAAGGTTAAAGTTACACTACACTAATCACACACATTTGAGGACATCAATGGTCTTCAACAGAATCCAGGCAACAGGAATCTGACACATTGGAAAATCAAATCCAGCAGTGTGTTATTCTAATCATGAAGGCTGTTCTAACTTGTATCTAATGGAACTCTTGAAGCATTATTGAATTTGACTGATGAGATGTCCTCTCCATTTAACTTCCTGGCTGAATATTCTTGTTTTCTTGTGCTGTCAATCTGAATTATTTGAGGTATTTATTTTTTCTTATTAATAATAATAATCCTTGTATTTGATATAGCGCTTTTCACATTTTCTAGACGTCTCAAAGCGCTTCACAAAATATGCTGTAAAGTGTATTGACTTTATATTTGTGGGCGAAACGCGGCAGCCAACAGCAGTGTCGCACAAACAGTCGTGGATTGAAAATGACCAATTTGTTATTGTTTCTTTGTTTTGGAGGGATTATTATTAGGTGTGTGGAGAAGGAAACTTGCCCAAGGTTTCGTCCTGTCTGGAAATGAACCCAGGTGTCTTGCTTGCAAGGCCTGTTTTTAAGGGTTTTGGACACTTGGCAGGGAATATAGCTTCTATTTCAAAATCGAGGAGGTAAGTTTACCTTTCACATTCGAAAATGACTCAAAGTGCTTTATGTAGACAGATTGGGGGGTCTGAGCTTGGTGGGAGATGAGGAAATGGGCAGTGGGCAGGGGAGGCAAGCAGAGTCTCCTTGGAGCTGAACTGGCTCCAAGGTGACATGCCTGGCAACGGAATGTCGGAATCGAGCCAGCCCTCTGTGGTGGTCTCGGTAGTCTGGTTTCTGAGCCAGGCGGGTCCACAGTACTCCAGGGCACTGTTGATGACAGCACAGCCAGCCTGGCTCATCGGCAGGACCTGGAAGGGTAGACAGGTCGCTGGAGGCAGGGAGTCATCCCACTCAGCTCCTGTTAACCATGCAAGCCAAATCCTAACAGGTAGATCCTAGCTGGACAAGCAATATCAATGGCAAGCTATACGGTTTTAGCTGGTTAGCCTCCAGCAGTACCCCAATGCACACTCTGGGGTTCCCAAGCCTTGGCTCTTGCAACCTGTGCCTAATACATTCCGGAATTAGGTAAGCAGGATGTGTCCCTCTAAGGAGAGAATGTGCATACCATGGGATGCATGTAAATCACAGCTTGGTTTGGATACTCTTAAGCAGGGTGATGATTTTCATGTTTCACCCGGCTGACCTCCCACCACACCCTCCAAAAAAAAATAAGCTGAGATAAGTAAGCTCGGAGTCCTGTAGCTCAGTGGTTAGAGCACTCGCTTTGCAAGCGAGAGACCTGAATTCAATTCCAGGCAGGGCGAAACCTTGGGCAAGTTTCCTTACTCCACACGCCTAATAATAATCCCTCCAAAACCCAAAACAATAATAAATTGGTCATTTTCAATCTACGACTGTTTGTGGGACATTGCTGTGCGCAATTGGCTGCCGCGTTCGCCCACAAATATACAGTCAATTCACTTTACAGTGTGTTCTGTGAAACGCTTTGGGTCGTCCTCCCAACGTGAAAAGCGCTATATCAAATGCAAGGATTATTATTATTATTATTATTATTATTTAATCAGCTTCAGGTGAGTGCAAATATGTCAATACATATGTTGATATGTTAATCTATGTTACAGCAATAGAGACAGAAACAAGGATAGCACATCTAATCTATTATCAAATGTCACAAATATTCACATTCAGCGGGATATTTTATTATTCGTAGTAATAATAATTATCCTAAAATTTGATATAGCACTTTTCTCGTCAGGAGGACATCTCAAAGCACTTCACAGGATTTACTGTAGTGTGGTAACTGTTTGAAGGAGAACGCACCATCCAATTTGCAAGCAACAATTAACCACAGACAAGCTATGAAGTGAATGATTGATTTTGTTTGAGGGATTGTTGGTCACTTCACCGGGAGCAACTCCCTTCTCTTTTCCAATAGTATTTAGAATATTTTTACTCAGTAAAATATTACCTTTTTTTTAAAAAATAAAAGTTAATTGTTATTCATTGAAATATCCATTCACTAACTTACCAAACTCTTTGGGCACAGTGATGGAGTACAAACATGTCTGGCCAGTGGTATAGTTGTGTGGGTAATTAGGTGACAGAACCACTCCTTGAGTTCCAGTGTACTGACCTCCACATGGAGCTGAAAGGGAAAAAAAATCAACATGGCCAATCAATATAGAGGAGACATGACACAAAACTGAGGAGAAAAATACTTCATACATCATCAAGGTAATTAAAACAGTGTTGTATATCAAACCTCAGTGCTTCACTAGGTCTATGCCATATGATTATTCCAGTTAGCTGTCGCCTGTGGGGCAATGCTAAGGAACATGATAAGCTTAGATATACAGTTACCTTCAGCTGAGTGCAAATATTTGTCAATATACTTTAAATCAATAGAGACTCAAAGAACGAAAGAAAGAAAGAAAGAAAGAAAGAAAGAAAGAAAGAAAGAAAGAAAGAAAGAAAGAAAGAAAGAAAGAAAGAAAGAAAGAAAGAAAGAAAGAAAGAAAGAAAGAAAAATCGTATTTTGAAGTGCCTTTTCACATTCTTCCTGTAATTACTCTCAAGTCTACTGACTATTTTTGTAAGCAATACAAGCTGCTCACATACAAAGCCGATTAGCTCATCTTTTGTTATTATACCAATAATATATTAAGTATTTTTACACTTTATTCATATTGAAGCATCATTATACCAGGGCAAAAATCCTGCATTACAAATGAAAATAGGAGGTTGAATTCTCACTTTCTTTCCACAACACAGTCACATTCCTGAGAGTTGGGGGTCAAAGCTGTGACTGAGAGGCAGAAACACTAATCTGTCTGTTTATGACTTCCCCTAGTTGTGGAATACTTGTTTCACCTTTAGAACCTCAATGATTCTCTCATCGCTGTCACTTTTCTTCTTTGTGGATGGCTCTTGCATGGATTTGCTTTGATTCAGGGCAACCTACGATTTGCATCCCCCTCGGCTCTGTTCTGATGGCTGACAAGAAGCTCATGTTTTTAACGTAGAGTGCTTGCTTACTTGTGAACGACTTTCATTCTAATTTTATTCGGGCATGCCAGGTAATAAGCTTTCCCAGTGTCAACTGGAAGTTATTCCATCCACATAGCTCTCAGGAGACTGATGGACTGCAAGTGTGTGAGATTGTCAGGAAATTCCTATGTAACAGCATTTCTGATAGGAATTCCATCGCTTTCTTGCATGTAAACTGGAAACATTGCCTTTAAGATTTATTTGCCCACACTTTGGGCCATTTCCCTGCTAGGGATCCAGTCAGCAATGCAAGGTGCTATATGAATATAAATTCTTGTTGTTTATTGGGGGGAGAAAGTGAATTTGGCTCCGCTTCCTCCACATGCTTTGTCCCCTCTGCTCCAACATCGGCAGCCTTGCCTTCGGCCACTAAACACTGAAACTATGGAATTTTCTGCCTCAATCCCTCAACTTTATCTCCTCTCTGTCTGTCTTCAGATTGGATTTAAGACCCTCACTGTCGATCATGCCTATGGTCACCTCCTCTCTCCCCACAGCTCAGCTTGAAGCCTCGCTGCTGTTAAATACTCTGAGACGCTACCGCGCTATATAAATGCAAGTTGCTGTTGTTGTTTTTGAATTTTCTCCGACTACAATAGAAGAAATTTCAGATCAGAGTTGATAATCTTCAGAAGGTGAATGGGGAAAGCAGGGAACGTCTGAATGTATGAATGAAATCCCTCCAATTACTTCAACCCAGGAAAATACATTTGTTCACTTGGCGCAATTGAGCACAATTAAAATATTTTCCTATGACTCGTTACTGCCACAGAGTTTGGGTGTCTTCATGTTACATCCAAAATAGATGAAGAATAACAAGAAGAGCAAGTAAGAGAGGCACTTACAGATGCAACCCCGTGTGAATGGCACTATGTACCTGCAAGTTGTTGTACTTATAAATAGTAATCCTTGTGTTTGATATGATTGAGACTGTAAATTTTCCCAGAAGAAATAGTTTTGTCAATTTCCCTTAATGCACCTCAAATACATGTATTGGAGCTTTCACTAAGTAATGGACAAACAGACTCCTCAATTCCTACACTGTTCGTATTTTTACCCAACAATTGAGTACCTTGTTGGGGGAAGGGAGTGTAAGGAAAGAAGGGAGATATATGTTTTTGCTTGCAGCTGAAACAGGAGTATAAATGAGTCAGATTAGTCCTGACATTGGTTTGAAGTGCCCAGTTAACATTTCTGGTGTTTGCAGATAATAAATGGTTTACACGTCAATAGGAGCTAAAGACATGAAATTGCAAGTGCCTGTTTCCGAGATGGGTGAACATTATTTTAGAGCTTAGAAAAGTATTCCACAGTTGTTTCCTTTTTGTGCCCCAATGCACATCATGACATGAATACTTACTGAAAGTAGTGTTATTATATGTCTCAAAATGAATGCCTCTCAGAATCTTAATGAACAGAAAGCACCTCTGTTCCCCAGCTCATTTTTTACTCCTTAAATGCCATTATGTTTGCCAAAGATACAAGAATGATGAATACTACAGTTGTTGCCTCCTAGCTTTCTCAGATGCACCGTCAGTTATTCTTGATTTTCAGGATGAGTGCAACGTATTGTGGGGGAAAACAATGTCAGCCCAGTCAGAAAGTAAGTCAAGGTCTGACATATGATAAGCGAGTTCACAAAATCCTAATCTCTTCAAAGGGCTCGAAATTTTCCACTGCAATTTCGGATTATACACAGAGGAATATGTGTATGAAATGGCTGTATGAAAAGATTCTGAGAGGCATTCATTTTGAGTCATATAACAACACTACTTTCAGTAAGTACTCATGTCATGAAGTGCATTGGGACACATAAAGGAAACAACTGTGGAATACCTTTCTGAGCTCTAAAATAATCTTCACCAATTTCAGAAAAAGGCACTTGCAATTTCAGGAAACCCACAAAGGAATCCACACGCCTATCTCCAGAATGAGTTTGTCTATCACTTAGTGATAGACAAACTCCAATACATGTATTTGAGGTGCATTAAGGGAAACTGTCAAAACTGTTTCTTCTGGGAAAATTTATAGATACACAGTTCAGCAGATCTACAGAAAGCTACTTAGATCATTATCTCTTTTTATGGAAGAATGTTAAAGCCAAGTGTGAACATTAGATAAGACCCTTAGAGTGAAAAGTTCCACAAAGCAAACATAATTGCATTGCACAGTTTAGCTTCTTAAATGTTGCTGAAATAGCTTTTAATTCTCCCAATTGGAGAGTGCTTCAAATGCAATCTTTTATGAAGAAACAACAACTATCCCCACAAATTTGAAAAAGCCAAAATCCACCTGTGGTTTCTACAGTTCCTTTGTTAAAATAGGACACTGAATGAACATGAATTGTATTTGTGGTATAATAGGATATTCATGCAGAGATCTTTAAAACATCGAGAACTAGAGTGCATTTCTGATTCACCTTGAAAACCACAACAAGTTTCTGATACCACTATTCCTTCAAAGAATACCTTGCAATACGACAGCAACAACAACAAAATTACGTTTGTAAAACGCCTTTCACGTCAGGAGGACGTCCCAAGCCGTTGCTGTAAGAAATAATAAGGGTTTTAATCTGTCTATTTCTTTAATTCTATCCTTCTATTATTTCTGAATGAATGATAACATAAAATTAGTTTGAAAGCCATGGAGGACATTTGCTATTAAATGCTTTGGAACAATACAGCTGCCTCGGAGTCAGATAAGAAGCTGTAATCACTTTAAGGGGAGACAAAAGCAAAAGTCAAGCAGTTTCTAACCACTATCTATTGGAATGCATCAGAATAGTGCTACACTATGCAGTACACATTTTATAACATCAAGGTCCTTGGCTTTATTTTAAGACCATTAACTTGAAATTTAACATTATGCAGAATTTGGGAAAATCCACTTGCAATTTGTTTCACTTCGTCTAAACAAACACCCTCGATTTATGCCATAAATCAAGACATATTCGATCAAAAAAAACTGAAAACACGCTACTGATCGAACATGGACTATCTAGACTCGTGCAAATGTTTGGTGGGTTACTTATTGACAGCCCCATGGACCACTTGGTTGCCCATCACTGGTTTAAGTAACACTATTACCTATCACTACTCTCCATGTGTTGACTTCTGATGCTGATACATAATATTATTCTCTGAGGAGGACACATAAACGAGTAATTGTCCATATCCTCTCCACTCCCTCACACTCTCCGTCCACCATCAGTGGCTGAGCCTTCAACCACTGTGCTCCCACTCTCTGAATCTCTGTTAAATATCTTTGACTTGCTCCTGCTCCCCTTAACTCAAAACCCTCGGAAAAAAAACCTCTCTCTTTGAGCAAGGCTTTCGTTAAAACTTTTTAAAAAAATTCTCCTTCCTCTCTACAATAGTCGGTGCATCCTATGACCTTTGCAAAGCACTTTGAAATAATCATCCAACACAAAAGGTTCTTTATAAGTGCAATTTGTTTCTAATAAGATTCATTGCACATTGTCTTACCAAGGTTTACAGTACTCAGCCACTGTATTACAGATACAGAACTCAAACAAATTGATTTTCTTGAGTTTATTCAGCTCACCAACGGCATCGGTGAAAATTGAAAGGTCTCCAATATACATCACAAAGGACCCGGCAGGCAGAAATGACACATCCTCCCTCTGCATCAGGCCACCCACATGCTACACAAACATTAGACTTCTTGGGCCCAATATTCCTCCTAGTCTTAGTCTGTGTAGACCATTTTGCCATAACACGTATGATAATGCAGAATTGTGGGAATTATTCATTTAGTCTTGTTACATGCAGTGTGGTATGGCTGAGATGTAAGCAGGGTCTCCTCAGAGCTGAGCTGGGTCCTGCAATGTCAGAATTGAAAACAGAATGTCATAATCATGTCAACCAAATGATTGGCAGTCCCAACCATCCAGTTCCTGAACCAGGTGGATCCACAGTATTCCAGGGCACAGCTGATGACCGGCCATCCAACCTGGCTTGGTGACAGGACTTGGAGGACCAGACCGGTTAATGGTGGCAGGAATTCTTCCCACCAGGATCCTGTTAACCCTGAAAGTCAAAGCCCTGACGAGTAGGGTGGTCCTCGCTAGACAAACAGTGAGAGGCTTGTTGAACTGTGCTCGCAATAGCAAGGTGTGTGGTTTTAGCTGGTTAAAGTCCAGCAGTACCACAATGCACACTCTGTGGTACCAAAGCCTCTGCTCTCACCAACCTAAAACTTTCCATAATTAGTGAAGTAGAGAGTATTCCTCCAGGTAGAGAATGTGTATTCCATTCCAATTACAGAGAAATATCCATGTGTGCGTGACATACAAATGGGGATCTCTCAGATTGGTTTGGATACATTTAAGCATCGTGCTGCATTTCCACAGGTGTTAGACACTTACCTATCTGACAAAAAGTAAGCCCAATTATTACAAATCTTCCAAATTAAGGCTGAATCAATGACATTTCCACAATTCTGCACCATCTCAAATATGAAGGCCAAAATTAACACAACAGACGATTGCTTGGTAGAATTCCAAGCCTAAAGCATTCTATAGGAATGCTTCTGACGGGCTCCACAAGGATGCTCTGTCAGCATCAACAGTACAGGTTAATGTCGCAATATCTGTGGGAAATTGAGTGAATTAATCAGTCAGTCTGTCAGAGAGTGAGTGAATAAGTGCATCAGTCACTCAGTCAGTCTGTCGCTGAGTGAGTGAATCTGTGAACCTGTCAGTGAGTGAATGAGATAGTCAGCCCTGTCTTTTTTTNCCTCTGTCTTGTTTAAGTGTTTTACTCAGACTTGTTGATAATGAAAACACTGCTGTATTTTCCACTGATGGACAATTATTAATGATACATTACTGATTATAATTTGTACATCTTGGAAAACTGTGGCATGAAACAGACACTGATTATTTACTGGTTCGAGATATCTACACCAACAGCAACAACTTGCACTTATATAGTACCCTTCACGCGGGGTAGCGTCCCAGAATGCTTACTCACACCAATCTCTCTGCCGTGTTTTTTCCTTAAACTGTCCAAAGTTCCCTGCATCACCATTGTTGTTGTCATTTCTTTTGAATTACAATTTTTGCGATAAATATTGCAGTTTTCAACGCTAAATTTCACATTTTGCACCCCTAGGCGTTGTATTATTTACCCTTACACGGTGTATTATTCACCCAGCCTGATGCATTATTCACCTAACAATAACAGCAACTCGCACTTAAAGAATGGCCTTCACATGGGTAACATCTCACAGCTAATGATCATGGGACTCACCCCTGCACATTGCATTACTCAACTCTGAGCATCGCATTACTCACTTCTTGTCACATTAGTTCCTTCTGCATGTCACATGATTCACCCTTATACATCACATTATGTATCCCTCACTTATCAAAATATTCACTAGGTACTTTTTTGGGGGGAGGGGATTTGATCAATTGCAATAGTTATCTCCAAATAGTTCTGCATTGAGATACAGTACCTTTGCCCAGTACAATTACAAATAGCTCTGATACATTACCATTGCAGGTAGGAAGTTCTCTGTTCCATACCGGCTTCCCTTCGTTCCCCATCACGCACATGATAGTAGCAAAGTTTGATATCTTATAGCCTGTATCACACTCGTACGTCACGGTGGAACCAAGTTTAAAGTCCATGCCGATGCGGGTGCCGTTCATTATATTGCCGGGGTCAAAGCAAGCTTCCCGTGGTTTTTCTGCAGAAAGGGAATAATAGGACACATCATAACTCCGTCAATTGCCAAGAACATTACAAGTTTTAGGAACAAAACGCGAAATACTGCAGATGCTGTAAATCTGAAAAGTTCTGACGAAGGGTTGTGGACCTTAAACGTTGACTCACATTCCTTTCTCTATAGATGCTGCCTGATCTGCTGAGTGTTCCCAGCGACTTCTGTTTTCGTTTTTAGGTTTTAGGAAGTTTGATTTGATTTGTTTTCCCGGAAAGAAACTTTGAGACGATTCAATTGACGTTGTACAATAACATAATAAAATGTAACCAAATCACAGAAAGGTTCAGTTGAGAAAGACTCTTAAGTCCCACTTGATCTCATTCTTCCAGAATGCCCTGCCTGCAGTCTTACGGAAACTCCCACCTCATCGGTCTTCCCAACTCTTCCCTTCACAAGCTGCAGATCATCCAAAACTCTGCGGCTTGTGTACTCTCGCGCACCAGGCTCTGTGACCCCATCACTCCCACCCTCACCCGACTCCACTGGCTCCCCATCCCACAGAGGATCGAGTTCAGGATCCTCATCCTCACTTTCAAGGCTATCCATGGCCTTGCCCCCTCCTACCTCTCTGACCTGCTGACTCTACCAACCTACTTGCTCCTCCATTCAGCGGGCTTCAGTCTGCTCCATGTTTCCCGCCCCACCCGCCCTATTATCGCTGGCCGGTCTTTCAGCCTCTGCACCCACAATCTGGTACTCCATCCCACGGACCCTTCGCCTCGCTTCCTTCCTTACCTCCTTCAAGGCCGGTCTCATGACTCATTTCTTCGATCGTGCCTTTGGTCGCCCTCCCACCTCTCTGACTTCCCTCACCCCTACACCTTCCCTTCCCCATATTTGGGCCTCAACACCTGACTGTTCAGCGCTGTGGGACGTCCTCCTGATGTGAAAGGCACTCTATAAATATAATTTTGTTGTTGTTGTTGTAGTATGAAAGGCCTAGTATAATACTACTCAAACATTTCGTAAAGCTCTGGGAAGTTGCTGTTGAATCCTGTGTTTTGTATACTTTGAATCCCAATCCAGTCATTAAGATATGTTTACGATTTAATTTAATAATTTCCCACAATTCTGGCTATTTTAAACTTGAAGACTAAAATGTTCGTAGACTAAGTGGAATTTCTGATATCAGCAGATCGGAGAAAAACTGTGATTCCTGTAAATGGAAATAGCAAACAGTGGATAGTTATAAGTCCAAAACTGACAAGATTTACTACACTGTAACACCCCACTCTTAATGTGAGAGCAGCAAAGAAAATGCTCTCCAATTATCCAATGTTTTTATGACCTAAAATAAATGAAATTACAAACATCAAACGACTAAGTGAATCTTGGTTCCCTGTTATTGTGGATGAAAAAAGGGATTAATTACTAGTTTAGCATCCCACAGTAGTTAAGCATTTTAAATGGTGTAATCTATGATTCAGTGCCTTGGATGTGCAGAAATTAGTTAATACCTTTATACTCGATTGCAAATCCTGCCATACTGACAGAGGCGTCACTGCGAAAGGCCAGGAACAGGCTATTACCGCTGCTCTCGATTCTCTCAGGTGACTGGGATCCTTGAAAGCTGCCAATTAATGGGCTGTTGGAATCTTCCCCTTCATAAATATGCAGAAAGTCATAGCTGGGCTCCATATTAAAACTGCAATAAAAGAGACAGCAAGGAGACAGAAAGGATATTCAGAAAGGCATGGCGTCTCCAATGTGTCGCACAATAAATAAAACCCCTTGCATTTATTATAATAATAATATAGTAATAATCATTGCATTTGATGTAACACCTTATCACAACAACAACAAAATTACATTTGTATAGCGCCTTTCACATTGGGAGGACATCCCAAGGTGCTGTACAGTCAGTGTTTGGACCCGAGCTGGAGGACGGGATTGGGAGGGTGGAGGGCAGGGGGGGTAAGGAGGGTGATCAAAAGCACGATTGAAGAGGAGGGTCTTGAGATGGGACTTGAAGGAGGCAAGGACAGGGCGAGGCGGAGGGACTGTGGAATGTAGTTCCAGAGGGTGGGGGCAGAGTGGCTGAATGCCCACCCGCAATAGTGGGACGGGCGAGGTGGGTAACGTGAAGCAGTCTGGAGCCCCTGAGTGGGGGGAGCGGCCAGGTTGGTAGATTGGTAGGGGGTTAGGAGATCGCAGAGGTAGGGGGGAGTAAGGCCATGGAGGGTTCTGAAGGTGAGGACCAGGATCTTAAACGGTATCCTCTGTGTATGGGAAGCCAGTGGAGTTGGGTGAGAATGGGGGGATAGGGTCACGGAGTGTGAGGACACTGGCTGCAGAGTTCTGGATGATTTACAGCATTTGGACGGAGGAGTTGGGGAGGCCACAAGCAAGAAGTTTGCAGAGTCAAACCTGGATGTTATGAATGTGTGTATGAGGATTTCAGCAACCTGTAGTGTGAGACAATGGCGGAGCCGGGCGATGTTGCAGAGGTGGGGGAAGGCAGAGAGGGTCATGGCTGGGGTAAAAAGGATAGTTAAGGGTCAAACAGATGCCAAGGTTCCAGAATGGCTTAGTGAGATTGCATCCATGGATGGTGATCCTGTCAATGCCTAAGGTGAGGAGGCGCTGACGGGAGCCAATCAGGAGACCTTCGGTCTTGTTGATGTTCAACTGAAGAAAGTTAACTCTCATCCAGGAATTGGTGTCTGACAGACATTCTGTCAGGACAGCAGTGGTCCTTGAGTCAAGGGTGGAGGCAGAGAGGTAGAGTTGGGTGTCATCCGCATACATGTGCAAAATAACCCCATGTCTGTGGATGATGTCACCAAGAGGAGCATATAGATATTGAAGAGGATGGGACCAAGGACAGAGCCCTGAGGAATGCTGCACAAGATGGTGTGGGGGCTAGAGGAGAAACTGTTTGTGGAGATTAAGTGGAGGCGGTGTGAGAGGTACGATCTGAACCATTCAAGTACAGAACCATGAAGATTGAGGTGAGAGGAGAGGCGGTGAATGAGGATAGAGTGGTCAATGGTGTCGAAGGCAGCAGGGAGGTCAAGGAGGACGAGGAAGCAGAGGGAGCCCTGGTCGCAGGTGGACAGAATTTCATAAAATCATAGAATTATACAGCACAGAAGGAGGCCATTTGGCCCATCCTGTCTGTGCCGGCTCTTTGAAAAGAGCCATCCAAATCAATCCCACGCTCCCGCTCTCTCCCCATAGCCCTGCAACCTTGTTCTCCCCAAATAAATATCTACTCTCTTAAAAGTTGTTACTGAATCAACTTCCAGCATCCTTTCAGGCAATGCATTCCAACACCTCGCTCTTGTGAAAAAATTTCTCCTCACCTCCCCTCTGTTTCTTTTAACAACTATTTTAAATCCATGTCCTCGGGTTACCGACCCACCTGCCAGTGGAAATAGTTTCTCCTTGTTCACCCGATTGAATCCACTGATAAGTTTTGAAACTTCTATTAAGTCTCCTCTTAATCTTCTCTGCTCCAAGGAGAATAATCCCATCTTCTCTATCCTTTCCTGATAACAGAAATCCCTTATTCGTGGTACCATCCTGATAAATCTCCTTTGCACCCTCTGCAACGCTTTGACATCCTTCCTAATGTGTGGTGCCCAGAACTGAACGCAATACTCTGGCTGAGCCTAACCAGTGTTTCATCATAACTTCCTGACTTTTGTATTCTATGCCTTTATTTATAAAGCCTTGTATCCCGTATGCTTTTTTTTAACAGCTTTATCTCCCTGTCCTGCCACCTTCAAAGATTTGCTTATATGAACCCCCGGGTCTCTGTTCCTTCACCCCCTTTAAGATTGTACCATCAGCTTATATTGCCTCTCCTCATTCTTCCTCCCAAAATGCATCACTTTGCATTACTCCACAATAAACTTCAACTGCCACATGTTTGCCCATTTTACCAGTCTGTCTATGTCCTCTTGCAATTAGTCACTTTGACCAGAGCCGTTTCTGTGCTGTGGGCGGCACGGAAACCTGATTGGAGAGGTTCGTAAAGGGAGTGGCGGGAGACGAAGCAGCGAAGCAATGACTCACTTCAGGACTTTGGAGAGGAAAGGGAGATTGGAGATGGGGCGGTAGTTTGAGAACAGGGATGGGTCCAGGGAGGGTTTTTTAAGTTTAGAATTGATGACAGACATTTCTAATGGGGTGGGAAAGGTGCCAGTGGACAGGGAGAGGTTTATGATGTTTATGACGGACAAGGAGATGGAGATGGGAGGTAACGAGAGTAGGGATGAGGTCGAGGGAGCAGGTGGTCGGTTTCGTGCAGATTATAGTGATGGTGAGAAAGAAGCAGGAGACAGGTTCGAAGGTGTGGACACGTTTCAAACCGCTTCACAGAATATACTGTAAAGTGAATTGACTGTATATTTTGTGAGCGAAACGCGGCAGCTAATTGTACACAGCAGTGTCCCACAAACAGTAGTGGATTGAGTGACCCAATTATTATTTTTTATTTAATTTTTATGAATCGAGTTTCATTTAAGACAACTCGATTGATTAGTATACGGTTTGACAAGGTTAAAAGTTTAATCCTCAGGCATGTAATGTGTGTGTAATCTACCTTTTGAATATCAAAGCTATGACGTAGTCGGGATTCACTTTAATTCTCCAGTCGCATTCCTTCCCATGAGGATAGGGCTGAGGGAAGTTTGGAGATAGGATAACGCCCGCAGGGCCCGTTACATTCCCACCGCAGGCAGCTGTCACAACAACAAAGGGAGAGAACAAATTAAAGAACCTCACACAGATGAGAAGACAGGAGAATTAATTTGTATTTAGCCTCGAAACAGCAGCACAGAATGTCTCCAATCTGCTGTGTGAGGTTAGAATAGAGAGGAAGGAATTTCCTAAGGCTTTCAAATGAGATCAGTTTCTGATATTCTTCATGTTTATAATAATATTACTCATTATTACTATTATTAACCTTACATTTTGTATAACACCTTACATAATGAGAAGACAATTCAGAAGGGATCTTATAGAGATGCGTAATATTTTAAATGGAATTGAAAATGTAAACCCAGGACAGAACTTTAAGGATGCACACGACAGTAAAACAAGAGAACATAGGTTAAGAATTGCAACAGCCAAATTCAGGACAGCTTTCAGAAAGTTTTTCTTTACCCAAAGGTAAATGGGTTGTCAGGAAGGCAGCTTGAAACTGTGCTGGGAAGACATTGGAGAGATGAGATCAGATAGGCTGAAGGGCTTTTTTCATTCAAACCAATCTAGTGATTAGGGGCATATTTCAAAACACTTCAGTAAAGTGTAGTGACTGTCTATGTTGTAGGGGAACACAACATTCAAATTTATGCAAATCAATGTCCAAGATGACAGACAATGAACTGAATGAACAATTTTATTCAGAGGATTGTTGGCCAGGATACTAAAAATATCTTCTCTTCTGGAATCTTTAATGTTCACCTGAACAGGCAGATAGGACCTCAGTTTGATATTTTGTCTGAAGGACGACACTTCTAAACAATGCAGCCCACCCCCACCTCGGCATTGGTATGTCAGCCTAGACTGTGAGTTAAAAGTCCCAACGTGGAGACACAATCTGCTGACTGAGAGATGAGTGTGCTACCAAGGGAGCCAGGCTGAAACAATTCTTTCTCAATTGTAAATATTAATTACAATAATAACAATCCTTGCATTTGATACAGCGCCTTATCAAGTCTTCGAGATATCTCAACACCTTCACAGAATATACTGTGACTTGAATTGACTATATTTTGCGGTTGAAATGCAAAGCAGAGATTGTCGTCTAAAAACCCACTCAATCGAGAGAGTGATTGTTTGCACTGTTGTTATATTGACGGGAGCCTGGGATACTGTGTAGGTGAGGTACAAGAAACAATGCTGTCTCAGTGACACTGTCGAGGTGATCGCACTCTCACGTTCTCGACAGCCGCTCTGCATGTGCACAGTGAAGCCATTCATTTCAACGCAAACTGGAGCATCCAATGTATGCAGCTGGCTTCAGCCGACCACACACACACACACACATACACACACACAGAGTAACAGTTATCAGCGCACACCTGCCAACTGAGCAGATAAGTTTCCAGACACGTTCAACAATACCTTCAATTTTTCCAGCATAAAGTCAAGGCGCTGCAGTTTCATGATGTGCATTAATGCCTCTGGCACTGGACAGGCGCAAAAGGGACCTATTGCAGCCTTAAACTATCTCCTTAAAATAATCTCACTGGAGGCCATCCAACTGGGACAATTACAGATTGGGAATATTAGGCCAGCACCTCTGTAACAAACTGTATAAGTAGTACAGAAAGAGGATTTGCTTCTTTCTTTACTGCTGAGAGGGAGGGATGGGAAATGCTCAGTCACTGGTAATTTGTCACAGTAGTGAAAATAATATGTAGAAAAAAATCATAGAGAGCTGATTATAATAATAACAATAATCCTTACATTTGACATATCCCTTTATCACGTCTTCGAGACGTCTCAAAGCACTTCACAGAATGTAGTGTAAAGTGAATTGACTGTATATTTTGTGGGCGAAACACAGCAGCCATGCACACAGCGGTGTCCATAAATAGTTGTGGATTGAGTGACCAATATTTGTTTAAGGAATTATTTACCCCCGTAAAAGCAGTCCGCCAATCACCTAACAATCGGGTTCTTACTTACTGCTAGGTAAACAGACGCATGTGGTGTAAGGAAATTTGCCCAATGTTTTGCCCTGCCGGGAATCGAACCCAGGTTTCTCGCTTGCGAGGTGAGTGCTCTAACCGCTGAGCTACAGGACTCCACATTATCTGGGACGGTCTCCATTGCAGATAAGCAAACAGTGTAGGTAAGTGGGCAGGATAGTAATATAAATAATAATTTTACTGTACAGTGGATTTTGCAGCACAAAGCCACACTGCAAAAATATTATAAATGTACAATATCAAGGTTTGTAGATTTATGAGCCAGGGAAGAGTACAATGCTCTTAATAATAATAATCCTTGCATTTGATATAGCGCCCTATCAAATTTTCAAGGTGACTCAAAGCGCTTCACAGGATATACTGTAAATTGAATTGACTGTATATTTTGTGGTCGAAACGGACCAAATTGCGCACAGAAGTGTCCCACAAACAGCCGTGAAATGAATGACTATTTTTTTTAAAAAAGAGATTATTACCCCCAGGAAAGTGATCTGTCAATTGCCTAACATCAAGCTACCTACTTACTGCTAGATAAACAGAAGTGTGTGGATTAAATAAAATTGCTAAGGTCTCACCTTGCCCGGGAATTGAACCCAGGGTCTCTCTATTGCGAGGCGAGTGCTCTAACCAATACGCTACAGGAGTCCTCCAAGGATCATATATAGACAAACAGAAACAGGAAGAGACTGTTCAGCCCATCAAGTCTTTCTATCAGTTTATTAGATTTTTACAGACCTTTTATTCCTGCTCTTTTTCCATAACCCTTAAAATTCTCTGCTACCTTCTACTTCAATGTGTCGAGTTTCTCCCCTCCCATTAAATGCCTCAAAAAAATCTACTTTAACATGAGCACTTTATTCTTTCAAATACAACAGTACAGATGGACAAGCCACCTGCTAAGTTCATTATTCTGACACCTCAACAACCCGCAGAACATTTGAATTCTCCTTCAGGGGAACTAAAATCTTCAAGTGAAATCCCACACGTAGAAAATAATTGCAAAACAATTTGTAATTTCAATCAGGCTTCTGCAGAGATCTGAGACATTTTACTAGTCAGAACAAGATATTATCTCTGTGTGCATAACCAAAACCTCAAAAGTTCCCTGTGATGTTTAAATACAACATGCATTGATATGGTGCCTTTCATGTAAAAGCACTCGAAGAACAATTAGATTGGTGACAACAAACAGGGAAATTATAGAAAATACAGTCTCATACCTTTCCCAGAAGCTCTCGCTGTGAAATTCCTCTTGAGATTAAATGTAGTTACTTGATGGCCTTTTCATACCAGCCCTATTCTCCTGCCGACATACAACAATCTTCCTACTTTGGTCAATTGCTCATCTCTCATTTTATGGTTAGAGTTCCCAAACTAGACAAGGTAAACTTCCTTCCCTCCCTGGTCCTACCACTCTACCATCAGTGGCCGGGCTTTTAGCCTCTCTGCCCCCACCTTTTGGAACTCCATTCCACAATCCCTTCGCCTTGCTCCCTCATTTGCCTCCTTCAAGGCATGACGCAAGATCCTCCTTTTTGACCCTGCCCTCCTACCTATCTACCCTCCCTCATCCCAACCCTGCCCCCAACAACTGGGGTCTGATCCCTGACTGTTCTGCACCTTGGGACTTCCTCCCAACATGAACAACAACAACAAAAACAAAATTACATTTGTATAGCGCCTTTCATGTTGGGAGGTCGTCCCAAGGCGCTGGACAGACCGAGTTTCGAACCCAAGCTGGGGGTTGAGATCAGGGAGAATGGAGGGCGGGGGGGAAGCAGGGAGATCGAAAGTACAGTCGAAGAGAAGGGTCTTGAGATGGGTCTTGAAGGAAGGAAGGGAGGTGAAAGGCATTTTACAAATGTAATTTTGTTGTTGTTGCTCTGCGATTCCGAAACATTTCGAGATGTTCACTGTTGGTGAAAGGAGCGACTTAATTGGAAGTTCTCATTGCTGATGAAATGTTTTATATTGGAAAATTTTGGAGGTTTTGTGCTTAGTACCAAGCCACCGATTCCCACATATAACCAGATGCTCCTCTACTGACTTTAGATTGTTGGATAGGTGGTGTTCAGTGACGTGTATTAGATAAACTGCCATAGTAAAGGCTCTGGAAACACAGCAGTAATTTGTCTTTTTATATCACTGGGGGCGAAAAAAACATATTATCAAAGAAACAAAATAAGTTCTTCTTCCATTGGGGTTCTCAAATAACCCGCTCTGAAGCTGTACCCTAAAATAAACCACCTTTGTTGAAAATATGCAAATATATACAAGTATGTTCAAATCCATGCGACATAACCAAAAGCATTTTAAAACCCCAGGCTAATGCTTAAATGTGCTGGCAAGATGTAAAATGTCAGTTCTAATTGGAAGGCCCTGCTAGTTGGCAGTTCCAACACAGAATATATTATGGAGACTCTTATCTCATTCATTTCTGTATCCAGGATCAACAGGTACAAAAGTGCTAATCTTCCCGCGTATCTGGATTGGGATTGACAAATTCAACTGAAACCGTTACAATTAGTTTAGGGGGTGCCACCAAGCGAGCTTTAAACATTTCATTCTGCTTGAAGCTGAGAGTAGGTTTCAATACTCTGGAATTAGGAGGAATGCAGTCAGCATTAAATGAGCCGTTTTACTACACAACCTATAATGGTCACCTACGATGCAAATAAAATTGGTCATTCGCTCCATGGCTGCATGTGGGACGTGTCCATTTTGGTTGCACCGTTCGCCCATAAACTACAAGTTACATCACCCTACAGTGTATCCTGTGAAGTGGTTTGAGATGCTTTGAAGGCAAGATAATTTGCAAAGATTATTATTGTATTATTACAAATATAGGGTACCTTGTGACACTCCAATATATTAATAATAATTCAATAAAAATTGATACAGCGCCTTATAACGTTGGAAGGACATCTCAAAGCACTTCACTGGATTTGCAGGCCAACACGGCAGCCGGTTTGCACACAGCAAAGTGCCACAAACAGCCGTGAAACAAAAGATCTATTTTTTTGGGTCTAGACACAGGGAAGAACTCCTTTCTCTTTTCGAATAGTGCCATGTAATCTTTAACTTCACCTCCGACAACGCAACAACCCCCCAGCGCTGCATTTGAGTGTCAACCCTATACTGGTGCTTGCTCTTCAATCTTAGTCTATACACCTCATATATCGATACATCCCAATTGGCTGCTCTTACTCCACACACTTTGATATTGTCAAGTGTTGATCCAATACTCTTTTAAATGGCATGTGGCATCCATTCATGTCAATGGTTCTATAGTTGCAATCAGCAATCAGGGTCTTCCATGTTCCAACAACATACTGTGCAACATAGGCATCAAGTCAGCCAATGTCAATCATTCTGAGATGTGTAAAGGCACTATATAATTGCAAGTTGTTGTTGTTATTGTACTGTCCACAAACTGGCCGCTGTGATTCCCTACACATACACAGTCACTACACTTTACAGTAAAATCCTATGCAGCTGTTTGAGATGTCCCAATGACATGATAATCCAGTGAAAATGTGAAGCAACTAAACAGTGCAACTAAAAATGATTATTATTATTATTATAACATATCAGAACATTTTTCCTCATATCCCTCTTAACTTTTCCAGTGGCAATCCTGAGTTTATAACCTGTTGTAAGAGATTGCTCAGACAGCAGGAACAAGTCTTTCACATGGTTGCGAGGGTGGGGCAAGGAGGTGTCAGTAAAGGGAACATCGTCTCACAATATCTGAGCACAAACGGAGCTTGTGTGATAAAACACAGGTTAATGCAAGCAGCAAGTGTGCATCACACAAAAATACAGTACAAAGTATTCTAAATACTGTATTCTTTTCTGCAGGATGTTTATTTTCTACTTCAAGGAATTCTACAGACCAGTCAAGAGGGGATTTATGTTGTGGCCAGCCAGATGGAATACCAAACAGCAGATCATGAGGGTGTTGCAAAAGCACTCAATGCTGATCTGTAATTTTTTCCTTTCAGGAACAAGCATCACATAGTGTTGTTTAATTAGGGTGATTCTTTGAGCACAGATCTGAATCATAGAAAACGTTGTCTGAATCATGATGCTCTGGGGGTTCTGCTCTGCAGGACATTCAATTTAGAATATTTTGGTAATAATGTGTGTTTAGAATGGGAAATCCCAACAAGGTTTCCTCTTAACAATGCACATTGTCAGTGTAATGCAGCTTCTGTACTGTATTCCAGTGAAAATGTGAAGCAACTAAACAGTGCAACTAAAAATGTACTCAAAAGTGCTCTTCTCTCTCCCTTCCCACCCCCACTGACCCACACCAGAATACACACACACTTTAACAAACACCCTCATGTACACTCACAAATCTGCAAACTCTCCCTTACACACTAACACATACTCTCACACATCCACATACTCGAATGCACATACACTCACAAAAATACTTTTGCTAACACACACTGGAATGCAGATACTCTCACACATGCACACTCACTCTCTCATACACACATTCTCACACATGTTGGTGGCATGCAGTGTAGTTTCTATACTTTTAAGCATTGAATTGGGTTTCTATACTCGTACATACACACTCACACAAACTCACAAATAGACAATTCTGCTCACACTCTCACACATACACTCAAACTCACTCACTCTCTCTTACATACACATACACAAGCACACACTAAGACAAATATACACATAAAGAGTAAAGTTTGTGACAATTCATAATTACAAAAGATTGAGTTTGAGGAGTTACCGCAAACTTGATCCTATTTACTTCCCCAAAATTATTTTAAAATGTTTTAGTTCCTATAGAAAAAAANTTCTCAGGAGGACAAATGTGCTGTGGGCATGAAAACATTGCAGCAAACTTAAACATCCTGAACCACTGTAAATATTAGCTTAAGAACAAAGTAGCTCTAGTGATTTTTATTTCAAGTGGTGGTAAAATGTTATACATCTCTCGAAAGCCTCCTATGAGATGCCTTTTATGAAGACTGAAAGCCCTAGCTTGTCTCTTCACAAGCTACAATTGGAAGCTCACTTCATATTGAAAAGAAATACAGGTTCAAGCCAAGTGAAAACCCAGCAAAACATTTACCAATTTACTGAGGGCGACAAGTCCGATTCAATAATAATATAATAATCCTTGTGTTTGATATAGTGCCTAATCACGTCTTCTAGACATCTCAACATGAATTGACTGTATGTTTTGTGGGCGAAACGCGACAGCCAATTACGCACAGCAATGTCCCACAAACAGTCGTGGATTGAGTGACCAAATTATTATTATTATTATTTTATTTTTGTGGGAGGGATTATTACCGGGTTTCTATTTACTGCTAGGTAAGCAGAGGCGTGTGGAGTCAGGAAACATGCCCAATATTTTGCCCTGTTGGTAAGTGAACCCAGGTCCTCTCGCTTGCGAGTAGTGTTTTAACCACTGAACTACAGGACTCGACAAGGTTGAAAAGCTACTATTTCTGCTCTTGTGAATGTGATACAGGAAAAAGATGGAACATGCTATTCTACCCTGGTAAAATGTGAACTGATTTGTATAGAATGCTGACCCATTTGAAGCCACATGTCAGGCATTTTTCTGATGTATAATGGTGAGCTGTACTGATTCTCCGTAATTCACACAACACCAGAATGTGCATACAGCATATATTAGTATACAGAAAAGCAATTTGTGATGTTTTTTTCTAAGAATCGCTGAGAATTTATGACAGAAGAACAGACAATGTCTTTGTGTTGCTATATCCCGTAATTTCTGTTTCTTTCAAAAAAAACTCAGTAAGATTAATTTATTTAAGTTAATCGTTAAAGACTAATTAAAGTTCTGGTTTAAAAGGAAAACAATGACTAAGAACTTTGAGAATTATTACTTTAAACATGCCAGCTGCTTGGAGCATTCAAAGAAAGTAAATCTGCAATGATTATTTCTCAGAAAATGGATGGGAAAGCATCAGAAACCACCAAGAATAACATTTCTAACTGTGTTACGGTTCGTTGGAGAGATTAAGGAAGTTCTGCAGTTAATTGTTATATAGGGCAAAAAGACAAATGATAAACACAATTCATGTACAATGCATATAATTAAACTGCTGTTTTAAAGAAAATGTTCAGCAAACGGGAACAACACAGTTCTTATTGAAACACAAACTCTCTGGACCCTAAGCCATATGGCTAATAGTCTCCAGAATTAGGTAAGCAAGATGTGTGCCTCCAGGAATAGAGTATACATTCTATTACAGAAACAAGGACATTTTCATGTTTAGATGGCATATATATGTAGAACATTCAGTCTTGTTTGGATACTCTTAAGCGTGAATTAAATCTTCTCAACTTTAAGTTTCTAAAATGGACAGCAAACTCACTTTTCTTCAAATAAACGTTTGTTTCATTCTGAATGAGGGTGGAGGGAGCCATGTTGCTGATGAACAAGAAATAAGGCAGGGAATCCATTTACACGCATGGGCATTCATGTGAGTGGCACAGATTGGACTTGCACTTCACAGACATTATTTATTCACTGATGTAATCTATTCCTCACTGTGTCAGCAGATTTGCGATTCACTCCCATTAATTAAATGACTGCAATGAGCTATTCTCTCACGACCTAAACGTGATGCCATGATAATAACTTGCACTTGTACAGTGCCAGTCACATAGCAAGAGAAGTCTCAAAGCAATTTACAAAACACAATTGGTTAGAATGAAGTGAACATTACACTGAATTATATAGATTTACAGTAACAAGTCTGTCATGGTTACACTCCACATGAATCTCCACTCCTTTTATTCTCCTCTCCCACACCCCTCTATTCCCTGTTCCTTAATGTATGGATCAAGTTTCCTTTTATATATGCCAATGCTTTTTTGCCTCAGCCACATCCTAAACTTCCTTTTAGATCTGCTCCTGGCTGTCTTATATTTACACCCCCTTGATTTGGAATCACCAACAAGTGGAAATAGTCTATCAATGTCCACCTTATCGAATCCTTTAATAATGTTAAACACCTCTGAGAGGTCCCCTATCAATCGTCTCAACTCCAGAGAGAGAAAGTTCCAACCTGATGCAGCTGTTGTTATTCAATGTTGTTACATAGGCAAACCTAGTAGCTAACCTAATCTGTGCAAACAGCGCACCACAAAGAACGATGAGATTAGAAGGAGGAAATTAATTTGAAATGCAGGGATACATTCAGTTTTGGATGGGAACACAAACCAAAACAATGGCTCTGAGTTTCTTGTAAGCGAGCGCCAGCAGCAGGGAGGTTCCATTACATTACCTGTACACGTTGGAGGGTCGGGCTGCCAGAAGAATCTGTTGTCTAGCTGGACGCACATAATTTTACCAGCTCCTTGTAACTGATAGCCTGGATCACACTGGAATATGACCGTATCTCCAGGCTCTCTGTTGTCTCCACTTCTAGTCCCATTCTGTGGAATTCCAGGATCGTTGCAAGTGGTCGCTGTTGAGGCTGTTGGACGAGATAGTTCAAGGTATATTTATTTATATATTGTTACATGGAAAACACCATTACTTATTGGGGAGAATTGGTCCACTTAATAACTGAAAAACGTCACGATCAAACAAAGATTACCAAGAGTATCCCTCTTTTGACTTGGTTCTCCTGTATCCCAGACCAGTGGTTTTATTTAATGACTGTCCTGAGCCATGCAGGTTCAAAGTACTACAGGGCACTACTGATAACAGACCAGCCAGCCTGGCTCCTCAGCAGGACTTGGAGAGACAGACATGTCTCTTGGAACAGGCATTCTTCCCACTCTGTTCCTGTTAACCTTGCAAAATAAAGCTCTGATTGATAGGATTTCCCTAATAAGACAAGCGACGGGAAGCTTGCCACACATTGCACTCAATGGAAAGCTAGGTGATTGCAGCTGGTAACTCCAGCAGTACCACAACGCACACTTTCGCCAATCTTCGTCTAATACTCTTCAGAATCAGGTAAACAAGGTGCATCCCTCCTGGGGTTCAGTGAACATTCTGGACACAAGGAAATGTTCATACGTAGGTGGTATATATACGTGGAACTCTCAGTCTGGTTTGCACACTTTTAAGCGTCGTACTCGGCTTCCACATATATTAAACACATGACTGGCCTAAAAAACAAGGGAACTCTAAGTAACATTCCAAGCATTCTAACCAGTGATCAGCGTAATGTTAGAATAGCGTATTTTATCTTACAGTGACATGTCCTTGAGATGCTACTTAGTTTCCTGACAGCAACTTTACATCAATTGAAAAGTGTTAGTGATCCTTATCAACTTCACTCTTTAGAGACGAGGAGTTCAAGCAGACCACATCACGACCTCAGGCACTTGTCCGCTACGGATGTTACACTCATCATTCCTCAATCCTCACATTGATGCCCACTTGGCGTTTAAAATATCAGGTTGACATTTGCTGCAGAAAGTACGTGGGTGAGGATGAGATCACTTGTGATGTTTGCCTTGGCCCACACTGATAACCATTTTCCATCTCTCGCATGAAGACAAGAGTCAAGTGGCTTGAGAGCCACCGGCAACACTGAACTCAGTATGAATCTCCACCTTAAGAATCGGATGAGCAAAAGCGGAGGATTGTTATTCATTTTCAACCTACGGTACATAGCCGGATTATTTCATTCAGAGACACTGGGCTCCCCACGGCAGTCGACTGAACTTAATTAATACAATAAAGGAAATAGACCTGTATTGGACTGTAGCTAGTGTATTTTATGACTTTGATAGTGCTGTGTGCATAATAGGATTGACATTCGAAAAATAAATTTCACTTCAACTGTGAAGGCTAATGTATAATCCAATCAATTATCCCTTTCAAATTCAGCGGAAGACAGACACCTTCGTGTATACATTATTATTTGAAGGTAACACAGTGGGATTGAGTTGCGGTATCATTTAGCCGTCCAACAAATTGTCGTTCGGTACAATTTACGTTCTGTTGCACCTTTCACGTCAAGAGGACATCTCAAATTCCTGGACAGTTATCAGCTACTTGTAGACTGTAAACCAGATTCCTTTATTTTGAGACTGAGAAACATAAATACTGGTGTAACACTTCAACTGTGCTTTTGACCACTTTTTTCCTCTCCAGCTTCTCCTTCACACCCACCCACCAGGTTGAACTCTTAGCTGTGCCAAATACTTTGAGATGTCTTCTCAACGTTCAAGGAACTATATAAATGGCCATTGTTCTTGCTGTTGTTGTAACCCAGATCACTTTTCCTTGACAATAAGAATTTATATTGTAATGCTGGTAGTGTTGAAATCCTATGAAGCATTGGCTGTGAAATGAGGTCACTTTCTTTTTATGCCTAATGTGGCAGCCAGTTGCACACAGCAAGGTCCCCAGACAGTCATGAAGCAAATGAGCAATTAATGTTCAGCCTGTCAGGCTCTGTCAGCCTGGCTCAGTTGGTAGCACTCTACCACTGAGTCAGAAGGTCATTGGTTGAAGCCCCATGTCAGGCCTTTAGGCTCAGTGCCTAGACTAGCACCGCACTGCCTTGCTGGGAGCGCATTGCACTGTTGGGGGTTCCATCCTTTGGATGAGATGTTAATTAGAGAATCCCATCTGCCTGTTCAAGTGAACATTAACATTCCAAGACACTATTTGAAAAGAGAAGAAGTTTCTCCTGGAGTCCTGAACAACAATAAAACTGATAAAATTTGTCATTCCTTTCACGACTTTTTGTGGGACAATGCTGTGCACACGTTGGGTGCTGCGTTCACCTGCAAATACACAATCACTATTCTTTACATTAAGGATGAAACCTTAGGCAAGTGTCCTTACTCCATACATCACTGTTTACCTAGCAATAAGTAGGAACATGGTTGTTAGTCAATTGGCAGATCGCTTTCCGGGGATAACAATGCCTCCAATAAAACAAAACAAAAACATTTGGTCACCCAGTCGACGACTGTTTGTGGGACACTGCTGTGAAATGTTTCGCCCACAAAATATACAATCAATCCACTTTACAATATAGTCTGTGAAGTGCTTTGAGGCATCTCAACGACATGGTAAAACGTTGCAAGGATTATTATTACTGTTTAAAATCTCTGAAACCCTGTTAGATGTTTCAACGATGTGATAAGGCACTATATCAAATGCAAGGATTATTATTTATAAGCTCACTCGGGGATTCGTAAGCCAACTTGCATCAAATATTTTCTGAGAGCGGATGAGCAGAGTGCGTCCCTCCATGGAGAGAGTACACATTCCAGAGCCAGACTGGCCACTGTCATCAGCAGTATCCAGGATTACTGCAGACCCACCTGGCTCAGGAACGGAATGACCAAAACAGCCATAGAAGATGAAAATAGATTCTACCTCATCAAGTGAATCACCTGAGGAAAAGTTCTAATAAATAGTATTCCCCAAACAAAAACCTCTAGTCTATTTCCACAATCCTAATGAAGTGCTAAATCCTTGCTGACTTTTCTGAACAGATGCTACCCCTTAATCCTGGAGCACAGGAGTCATCATACCCCATGAGCCGCTGTAGTGTTTAACATTATTTCTTACCAATACATCAACTCTACTCTGTTTTTTGTTGCAACTTATTTCATGTTGTTTTGCTTTCTACTTATTATTTCTTAAATCATGTATTTTACATTTCTACCCAGTTCCTGCATAATAATGGTTATCTTCAGGAAATCTTTCTGTAAAACCAACAGTCAATCAGTTCTTTACGCAGCTTGACTTCTATTTGCTGTGTTTTCTTCCAGGCAAATGATTACTGACACCTTTTCTTGCCAAAGTCAATAAGCCTGAAAGGCACGATATAAATATAAATTTGTTGTTGTTGTAAACAGTTTTACCACCACTGACCAGTTTAATTTTAGATGGTATGGTTTCAGCTTCTCTTAGCCTATCCAAGGCCTTCTCCTGCACCCAGATGCTCAGATGTCAATGAGTGAATACAGAAGACCATTGCAGTCCACTGGGCAGTCCTAAAGTTATCCCCGTCCACCTCTCCATAATGTGGCTGACTCCAAATAGAATTCAATCTTGAATCACTATCTTCTCCAATTCACACAATCTTGAGTGTCTGCAAGACCTGCTTCATGTCCCTCACACTCCCTGTTCTACCATCAGTAGTCAGGACTTCAGCCTATATGGGCCCACTCTTTGGAACTCTAGAGTTCCTCTGACTCACATCCCTTACCTCTTTCAAGATCCGTCTCTAGACCTAACTCTTACACTGCGCTTTCGACCATCTTAGGGTCCGTCCAGCTCCCACCACAGCTCAGGTGCTAAGCTAGTACTGTTAAATGCCTTGAGACATCCTCCCAACATAAAAGGCGCTATGTTGATGTCAATCTGTATTGTATTACAACGTAGTGTGCATAGTCTACGAACATCAATATAGCACAATTATAGAGAGACAAATCATTTTCCCATTCTTTTGATTTCACGAACTGAGCACATTATCTCTCATTTAGATAAATGGAGTCCTGTGGCTCAGTGGTTAGAGCACTCGCCTTGCAAGCGAGACATCTGGGTTCAATTCCAGGCAGGGCAAAATCTTGGGCAAGTTTCCTTACTCAACACGCCTAATAATAATCCCTCCAAGACAAAACAATAATAAATTGGTCATTTTCAATCCACGACTGCTTGTGGGATACTACTGTGCGCAATTGGCTGCTGCGTTTCACCCAAAAATATAGTCAATTCACTTTACAGTCTATTCTGTAAAGCACTTTGAGACGTCTAGAAGACGTGAAAAGCACTATATCAAGTTCAAGGATTATTATTATTATATATTATATGTAATGATTTCCTTTCTGGTTTGCAGAAGTTCAGGCTGTACAGGGCACTTAGGATTATAGATCCAGCGATTGGGGCTTCTACATGTGCTTTAGGTAATCAAAGATGTACTCCGTATAAGGGTATTTTAACTAAAAAAGCAATAAGGCATGCTGTTCATCATAAAATATTGGCTCAGTTGTTTATTTGATTTGGGGAAAAGGGGATAATTATTAGTGATAAAGAATGTATATAATTTTGTATAGTAAGAAGGGCAATTAATAGAGGTAGAGAGCCAGCTAGGGTGTAAAATAGGAAATAGATACCTGCATTCAGGCGTTCTTTTTGGTTTCCCCAACGAGTAATTAAAATTAGAGTTGGAATAAGAGTGGTTTCAAATATAATATAAAATATAATTATTTCTATAGAACTAAATGCTATAATTAAGGATACTTGAAGAGTAATTAGTATAATAATATAGATTCGTTGACGATTAATAGGTTCAGTTTTTACACTGGTCATTCTACACCTTGAATATTGCATAAAGTTCCTCTTACTGTGACATAAGAGGGCTGTCCAGTCCCTTGAAGTGGTACAGAGGAGAGTGTTAGAATATACACTTTTTGTATACTACTAGAATCATAATAGATGTTGTGAATGGGTTAACTTTTAAGTTAAGTGTGGGGGACAACTGGACTGACTGTCGTGGGTTAGGACTCATCTAGTTTTCTCTGTTTTTGAAAGAATAACAGACAGGGCAGGGGGTCACCTCTTATCAGTAAATGACAACAAGCCCACAGGGCTAACGGTCCAAGGTACCAGTCGACACAGGATCTCGACTGAGCAATAAGTCGCTAGATTCTGACAGGGCCAAGCGACAGAAGGCAACCCTCAAGAATAGCAATTAATGAGCAAGTTGCTTAAACTAGAGGGCCTTGGAACCATCCTGGGATACTGATAAGAAATAATCAGTCACTTAAAAGGAATGTACTAATGATCCCACACCACAAAATAATGAGCACCAGATACAGCCCTAAACTGATCAATCCTCTATCTTAGACAATTAGATCAGATAACAGGGGTCCTAAGGACAATGTGTATGTGTGCTGAGGCACGTACACCCCATGAGGTGTTCACGTGAACCCAGCATGATTTCGACAGGTGATCTAATGTCCGCACCATGATTGGATGAATATTGGTATAAGAGTTCCGATAACTTTGTGTACGGGGCCGTCCCGGGTCGTGGAGACAAGGATACGGGAGATGGAGCCGTCCCGGGTCGCGGAGACAAGGATACGGGAGATGGGGCCGACCTGGGTCGCGGAGACAAGGATACGGGAAATGGGGCCATCCCGGGCTGCGGAGACGAGGGTACGGGAGATGGAAGACTGAGAGCTAGAAACACTAAGACTGAGGATATCAGATGGAAGATTGAAAGCTGTAAGCAAGAAGTTCAGTGTTGAACTCTTGAACTCGAGATATCTATAGTGGTGTTATTCTGTTATAAGATCTGTTGATTGTACCGGCCTTTGGTCTGACCCATCGGGATATTGGGGAATAACGAACGAATAATAATAAAACAGTCTGATATCTGGTTAAAGGAATTAGGTTATTTCCTTACAGATTTGGCTGATTTTATTTTCTTACAAGAGCAGTGAGGATGATCCTCAGTGGTAGAAGAATGAGATATGTGCAATGGTCTGATAAGCTCAGGCTCTTGAGAGAAGATGACTGAGAGGGGACCTCATAAAGTGGTCAAAATTTGAAATGGGATTGCAACAGTGGCAGTAGAACAAGACGATATAGATTTAGAGTTTAAAAGCCAATTTCAGGACAGATACCAAGATCTCTAAGCAGAGAGTGATCCACAACTAGAACAGGTTGTGGGGAGAGGTAGCAGAGGCCAGGATACTGAACTGATTTAAAAGTCAGCTTCTGGAAGGATGCGATCAGATCACATAAGATCGATCTGCATGACCTACTTCATCCAGACCGATCTTATGATCTTCTGAAGTTCTCAGATTTCTCTGGAAACGTAACATCGTCGCTAACATTTTCCTTTCATCACCTCCAATATCCCACGGAAATGTGTTATGCTTCACCAAGGATCACAGTAAGTAGCATTATGACCTTCACAAAATTGTCTCCGTTCAGGATTTGTAATTCAAAGAAGTTAGAATCCATGAGCAGTCATCTCTCCGCATCTTTGTGGCTCTTCGTGTCAGCATTCAGCTCAGGGCACAATTTTGGAACTATCTAACGGAGGCTCTTATTTAAAATAGATTCTGTAGTTTCCTTTCAACCCGTTGGGGTCTTATTGACTGCTTCACAACACTGACAGCCTGTCGCTATGGCTTAGAGCTAGTTTGCACGAGTAGAGCACTCAGACTATTGCATCCTATACCCTTTTGAACTGCAGCAGCCAAAAGTAATGTTTTGACAATAACAACAACCACCACCACTTGCATTTCTGTAGCACTTTCATGTAGGATGCATCTCTTGAAATATTTCACAGAAATGAATGCTACAGGGCCACCAAGCGCTGAGCAGAATTTTGTTGCTGACCAAATGTGGTCAAAGAAATAGGTGTCTTTGAAGGCAGGAAGAGAAGGAACAAGGTGAAGGGATATTGGGAGGGAGAGAGCCTCAGAGATCAGGGAAGTAGCAGCTGAAATCTCCGCTAGTAGTACTGGAAAAGAGGCCACCCGACATATTTTAATTGTAGACTGCACACCAAACAAACATTGTGGTGAAATTCAAGAATCGATCTTGGTTAGAGCACTCGCCTCTCAAACGAGAAGGCCTGGGTTTGATTGATTGATGTCTCAAAGCGCTTCACAGAATAAAGTGTAAAGTGTAAAGACTGTGTATTCTGTGGGCAAAACCAAGCATCCAATTGCACACAGAAGTGTCCCACAAACAGTCATGGATTGAGTGACCAAATTTTTGTTTGAGGGATTATTACCCCTGGAAAGGGATCCGCCAATCGACTAATGACTGGGTATGAAAGATTGTTGTTTGTTTAAGATTCCAATTTAATTTTCAATCTGCATCTTGCAAAGTAATTTTTAAAAATCAATTAAATTTACTTTAGTGGTGTACCAATAATAAGCACATATTCTTACCAGGAATTAGGTGAAATAAGCATTAATTGGGATCATGCAGTTTCACAACACTCATTTATAATTCTCCAGATGTATTTTAATTTCTCACCTCTTTTCTGTTTATGTCCTTATTTGATCAGTTTTATTATAACTGTTCCCAAACCAGTCGTACTCTGTAATCACATACAGTTGTGATTACTTTGGCATAACCCCAAAGTAGCATGTGGTTCATATTGGTGAGGTTTAATTTTTTTCTGATATTTACAATTATCTTGTTAATCTTTTCATCTCCTTAACCATTCACTTGTTCCAAAGTGGTCTGATCCATCTGCACAGCTAAACCCGTAAGCTTGAGTGTTTCTTGGATCGGATTTGGGTCTTTGGGAAGTGTGCAGGCCCATAGTATTGGCAGTGAAAGTGAAGATCGCAAGTTCTAACTGCATCAGCTGAGTGAATAGCATGTCCTGTGTAACTGATCTTACATGTACATGTCTGAGACCCCGTCCGGCATGGAGGGCGCTATATAAATCCAAGTTGTTGTTGTATATAATAGATTACAAATTGTGTCAGCTAATTCACCATTAAACTCTTCCAACTCAGGAATAGCAGAGCCAGATGTAGAGTGCAGCTGGCTCTGCTTAGTTCTAGTACGGCTCAATACTGAGCTCAAGAAAGTGCCCAACTTAATGTCCACAGTGGGAAACACAAAGGTTGCTGAAATGTCATTGAGATTCAGCAGTGAGATTGCTTTCTCCAGTCAGGCTGCATTTCCATTTGTATTCGGCATCTCTTTGCGAACAATGTTAACATTGAGAAGTGTGCCCTTCATAAATTACAAAGAAAATATCTTCACTTAAAGTATTCATCCATAATATTTTAGAAAAAGTCATTAAACAAAAATTTAAAAAGGAAAAATTTAAAAGGCTATGCAACTTTGATATAGCGCCTTATCACATCTTAGAAACTTCTCAATACTACAAAACTATAACATTCCAATAATAATGAAAGATGTGAATTTCCCGAACCCCTGTTTGTTCACAACAACAAGTTGCATTTATATAACTCCCTTCACACAGGGTAGCGCTTAACAGTGCTGTAATTTGACGCTGAGTGGGGGAGAAAGGGGATGAACTGCTACCTACTTGAAAACTGAATGGAGAAGCCAGACTTGCTGATGAAGAAGTCAGTGTCAAACTGCAGCGTGATGGAACTGAACGTGCTGTAGATATCGTCAGGCAACGAGGAACCGCTCCACTCCTTTAGCAACATGTCACTCTCCACCGGCCCATCCCACACTTTCAGGATATCATGAGATGCTTCAGTGTCAAAGACAATGAAATGAAGGCTGCAAAGAAAAGTACAGTAAATATGCACATGTAAAGACCTGAAGCGCTCTTCTCTAAATTATATCTGACTAGTGTAAACCTATATCTGGGTGAGAATTTCTCCCCATCCCACAGTCTTCAATAAAAAAATCTGCTGAAAACTGGCTTCACAATAAAAGATGTATTTGAGGTGTGAGCCCAAGTTGATTGTGGGAAGGCATCTGATGTAGTATGAGTTAATGATCACAGTGTACCTAGCCAGGCCAGCCTGACCACAAGTTGGTAGCACTGTGGGTTGAGGGCCTCAACTATCGCTAATGGGTGGGGAGAAATTCTCACCCAGGTCTGGATTTGCTCTATTTCCATAGAATTTCAGAGCATCCAGGATTTGGCAAATTGTTAAACTCAGTATTAACTTTGAAGTGGCTTTTCTGTGGCTCTTAAACAAATGTTGAAAACTAGCTTCAATATAAAGGATGTATTTGAGGAGTGACAGCCCTAATTGACTATGGAAAGCCATGTGAAGTAGTATTATATCTAGATTTCCAAAATATGTTTGATCAAGCACCACATAAAATATTTCTTCCCAAACAGTGATCACTAGGTATCAAAGGAAAATATGGATGTGGATTCAGAATTACCTGAAGGGAAGAAAACAGAGGGTCGTTTTTAGGGGAGTTCGGACAAATTGAGGGAAGGTATTAAGCAAGGCCCTCTGGGTTTTTACTGGGACCCTCCTGTTCCTTGCATATATTAATGACCCAGAGTAAAGTTATTATATTTGCAGATGACACCAATGTGCTGGGAACTGTGGAATCAGAGGGGGCAGCAAAGTTCTTAGAAAGAGTGTTTGATAGGGTCGGCACATGGGCTGATAACTGACAAATGAAGTTAATATAGATAAATTCAAGGCACTATGATGTAAGAATAGGAAACACAAGTACGCTGTGGATGGGACAGAACTTGTCAATGGGAAAGTTGAATCTGATCTAGGGATGTTAGTTGACTCATCACTCACAATATCAAAATAGTGTGAGGCAGTAAGAACAACAAATTAACATTTTTATTGCACCCTTCACATCAGTAGGATGTTCCAAGATATAGGACAGTCAAGGGTTTGCACCCAAGCACTAATCAAGGCAAACAGGATGCTGGGTTATATCGCTAAATCAGTTAAGAATTTAGATCTTTAGATGTCATATTCTGGTCATGCTGTACCTAAAGCATTGCATACAGTTCTGGTCACCAAGATATCAGGGAGCTATACCCAGAACAGGGCAGAGTGTTAATGGAACCATCTATGAGCAATGGTTAGACAAGCTATGGTTCTTTAGCCTTGAAAAGAGATGTCTCAAAGGGGATCTTATAGATATATAGAGAGAGAGATCATGGAGTGATATACAATTTTAAATGGGATTGATAAAGTAAACCCAAAATAATATTTCAGGATAGATCAAGACAGCAGAGCAAGAGGTAGAGCTTAGGAGAAAATAGGGTAAGAGTGTAAGAGACGGGGTGAGCTAAGGTGAGAGAGGTGGTGAGCAAAGAAGGTGAAGGGAGATGAGCAGATGTGGGGGGGGGAGAAAGGTCAGCAGGAAGGGGGAGAGAAGGGAGTGTGCAGGACAGGCGGAAGCAGGGAGGGTCAAAGAGGGAGTGAGCAGGAAAAGTGAGGAGAGAGAATGAGTTCGGGGGTTACGGACATGGGAGGGTTGGGGGCGAGGCAGATACAGAAGGCAATACCTGATTGTTTTTCCTGGATCAGCCTCTATTTTCCAAGTACAGTGGATGTTGTGATCATACGGCACTGGGTAGCCAGGAGACAAAATCCTACCGGCGATGGCACTTTTAATGTGTCCTCCACACTCCGCTAGAAAATGATTCATAATTCAAAACAACACACCAGATTGGTTACATTTCTCTCTGTGGCATGCCTTGTCTTAAACACAATAATTATGTTGATGTTAAGCAATTTTTTTTGTTTGTTTAATTTTCAGAATCAGCGATGATGACCCCTTAGAGACTGGAACTGATTTGGATGGAGATAGCAGCTGCCAAATATCTGATAAGGAAAAGCCACACACACACACACTTTCAAGTTGTTCAGTCTCAGTAAAACATGGTCCATTGCAACTTGATGTAAACGGGCTGCAGTAAATTTTGCAATGGATCCAACCCCAAGTGATATAACCTCAAGCAAATCCTGAACCGTTGAAATACATCTAAATTTTTTTTGTTCCTTGCAATCCAAATACAGTACCATAGGACCATAGACATTTATAGCCATTTGGCCCATCATGCTTGCGCTGGCACTTTTAAGAGCAATAGAAGTCGAAATTACAGTAAAAACATCAGGGATTTTAAATGAACAATTTACCTATACACAAAGGCAATGGATTTTTCCACACTCTGCGGTCCCCACTCAAGCAGGTGAGAGTGCTGCTGCCATGCAGAGTATAACCTGGGTTGCAGCTGTACTGGATGTCAGTGTCAGCAAAGTGTCCTTCATCCCGGATCTTGTAGCCGTAATTCGGAATTCCCGGATCCTCACACTTGACCAGGTCAAAGCCTAAAAACAAGAAGGTTGGCAATTTACAACACAGCACAAATTTCATTTAGATAGCGCTATTCAAGTCAGGAGGATGTCTCAAAGAGTTTGTCTGGGTATATGAACTGGGAGTGAAGGTTAAAGTAGTTGGGAGGGAAAGATGACCGAAAGTGCAGATTAATTTAATATGATTTACACTAATACAACAGAAGGATCAAAAAATAAAACCAATAGGAACGTTTTCCACTAATAGGAAAAACATCTCACCTCCAACATGATTGTTAATTAAATTGTATCTACAATAAACAAAGTCACTCCACTTTACAGTAAATGCTATGAAGCACTTTGAATGTCCTTCCATGTGGAAAGACACTATATCAAATCCAAGGATTATTTGAATTGCAATACTCCTGAACTTAAGTTACCGTGAATTATGCAAGTTATCTCTCCATGCACTGGAACACCTTATGTCAGTCAGTTCAAGACAATCTGTGAGAGAGACATGTCCTAACCTAGTGCTAAAACACACCACTTAAAACGTACCACAGTTTGTTTACCAAACCAAACACCCAAAAGTTTCTAAATTAAACAGAACTCTCCCCAGGTCACTCTTATACCTCCCAATGAATGCATGGCAATATTAATGGCATGTTGACAAATCAAAACAATGAGTGAATGCACCAAAAGTGGAGAAGGGCAATTTTATAATAGCAGACACAAGCAAGTATTCCTTTAAATGGAGATATTCAACATCTGGAACAGATTACCAGGGAAGGTGGTTGAGGCCAAGAAATTGGATTCATTCAAAGAAATAGATTGATATTTGGGAAGGAAGAGATCAAATGGGCTTATTCAACCAAACCTATCTTCTGAGTTGGAAGAGTAGGCAATGCCCTAGCACGCAGCAAATACTCACTCATGGAATAAGTGGAACACTGAACATTATGACAGTGCATAATCCGATAATCACAAAATCACAAGATTGGTTTGGATGAAGCAGGCCCTTCGATCAAACTAATCTCACCTTTCCTGATGACATTTTTCAGTACAGCATCAAGCTATTTATGAAATTAGTCCAGTGTCCTGTCTCAACCACTGTTCCTCTCAACCTGTACCAGTCTTTAATTACCCTCTGGGTAAAGTGGAACGTCATGGTGTCTATTCTGAAGTTGCCCATTGCAATATAAACCTATGTCCTCTTGTTCTACTGTCTTGGCTCATCTTACAAAAATGGAATGAATGCGAAACTTAACAAAATGTATACATACACATGTATATAATAGACATAAACACAGTAAATTCAACAACCTTTGGTCTGAATCACATCATACGGGACAAAATAGCTTCACTATGCTTCCTAAGACACTGCCTTTGAGTTAAGCAAGCATCCCATGGAACAACTCAGGACATTGGCAACATTCGAGGCTTCGGTTGATTAGAGCCAAACATGCGCTGACCAAACAGTGGTCAATTAAAAACCATTTTACACTGCGATTTTTGGCAATGTGATCATTTTGACCAGTCCCAAGGAGCATATTATTGGAGAATACAGAAGAAAATACTGGGATAAATGAAATGCCAGTGTGATCGCAACTATAGGTTTTGAAGCATATCTATTTATTTAAAATTGTAATTTTCATATATATTCCGGTGGTTTAATTCAACAGTAATCAAACTATCCTGATGTTTAAATATCTTTAATGCTATCAGATTAGCAATTGTGTCACATCACCATGTGTAAATCGAAGGCGTACAGAAATAAGACAGCCCAGGGAGACCAGAGTCTCTGTGGAGATGCCAGCAATTTAAGGGTAAAACATAACTGAAAGATTATTCTGTAGGTTGTTCAAATATGCCATTTCCTTTCCCTCAGAAACGCTTGTTGATGAAACAAAAAAGAAGAAACCGAGAGATCCTGTTTATGTATTATGTATAAATCATTTGAAAAACTTCAGAGAAACGCACACAAAGGAAACACAGTACAGGAATCCAAATTGATCTGAATCTGGAGTAAAATATGAAGCCAATCACTAGCAGTGTAAGAAAGAAATCAAAACAGCGAATTGAACTAAATTGTTTTGAAATTCCTCGTTTGATAAGGGAGTGAATGCATACTTAATCAACACAATATATCATCAGAGGTATGCCTTTAAACACTTATTAAATTCCTTGCTTTAAAATCACTGTCAAGCTGGGCAAAGCGCACGCTTCTTGCTGAAGATTGCATTGCTAAAATTATTGCAATGCCCAATGTACGGCACTTGTTGTTTCATTCACCCTCTGCAGTGCTGCCTGAGTTTATGATGGGGTTTTCCTGTTATAAACTCACACCATCAAGGTCAATATATTTGCAGACCAGTAGAGTATAAGACATGTTTGGCCACAAAATTCAATACATTTCCCAGTGATCAGAGAATCACCCATTTTACTGAGCCCATGTTTGTGACGAGATGCTCAGTGTTGTAGATGGCCTTTCATGCTCTTTGTGTCTCTTTGCATTTGAGTCCAGGCAAAGCACCCCTGGAAAGATTTGTTCTGTGTATTTGAATGGGACTTGCCAGGCTCAATAGGCTCTCTTGCCTTTCCGAGTGCATGTGTGGGTGAATGTGATAATGTATTGAATGGAGGATCCAGTTTCTATGTATTCTTGTTATCATGGATCCACAAGGATTCTGGATTGAATGATGTTCATTATGACATTCCCTGCATTTCAATAAGCTGCAACATTCCCAGAAATGTGAACTTTCTGGGGGATTTAAAAAACACAACAACTTGGATTTATACACTGCTCTTCACTCAGGATAACTTCTCTGAGTGCAATACAGTGGTGGTGTTGGACGGTGAGCAAGAGACAATGGGGAGAAGATTATAAGTGCGGTCGACAAGGCAGTTCTTCAGATGAGATTTAAAGATTGATAGATATGATGAGGAGGAGGGATTGAGACAGAGATTGAGGGAAATTCCAGACATTAGGGGCTCACCCAAAGTTTAAATGCCCATGTTGAGTTTCTGCCAATATGGTGTGTCTCAAAAGTCCAATGCCTTTTTGTTTTACACAGCAATATTTCATACTGCTGAATACCCTTTAAAAAAATTCAGCAAGGCATCAACCTAAACTGGCCTTGAGTGTGAGTGCTTGTCCAAAAAATATATAACTTCCAGTAAAAGAAAAGCAAAGTTCAGTGGGTAAGGTTACATTTGAAGTCTGTGCTGAGAAAGCCCATCCCATAACTGAAATAGCGATGAACAGCCTGATGCTGAACAAAAGCTCAGGCACAGCAGTGCAGATGGAGTGGGTGGGAAGAAAGCCAAGGCTGTGTGATGCACTTGGTTTAACTGTCAACCCTCTTTCCTCTCTCACATCCGATCTCTCATTGAGATTGCTTTACTGCCTCTTGACCACTTCATCTGTCCAGCGGTCCTACTTCACCCCTAACACTGCTGAAACACACAACTTTAGCAGCTCCGATTGAGATAGCACAAGGCAAATGTTTCAGCTGTTGTTTTATACTCCTACATCTGGTTGATGGTAAAAGTAAAACATATGTGTCCCTTGAAAGAAGACAAAATCAGAGCGAAAATGACTTAATTGAAAAGCGAAGGCAGTTTCTTGCGGCTGTGCTGGCCAAACATTCCCCCAAATAAAATTGGTCTTTCACTCTGTTTGTCGGGCACTGCTGTGTACAAATGAGCTTCTGCTTTCAAATTCAAAATACAACATCCCTACATTTTACAATGTATCCCTTCAAGTGTTTTGAGATGATTCCCCAATGTGAAATGTAAGGATTATTATATCAAATGCAGGATTTTTTGGTTTAACTCCCTTCACATCGAGAGGATCTCCTAAAGTGCTTCCCAGGATATACTGTAAAGTGCAGTGAATGTGTATTGTAAGCAAGCGAGGGCAAATGCGAGTTGTTGGTTTAGTTCCACAGAGTCCTGAGAATCTAAGAGTCATTTTCTAAATTGCATTCACTTACTGCTGTATGTGAGCTGAAATCCCTGGTCAGTATCTGTTCCGTTTGTGTTAAACTCTAACCACATTTGGTTTGACGTGCTGTTTAAAACTGCTCCAAGCAATTCTGATTTGGTAAAAACTCCAAGACGACGAAAGGAATTGTCTTTTCCATCGTAAACCTAAAACACAAAGATTGCAAAGATTAGCTGCACAATTACACGCTTTTGACCCTAAACATGTCAACAACAAAATAACTTGCAGTTATATAGCTCTCGTAATGCAGGGTTAGCATCCTGGAGCACTTGACAATGCCAGAGCACGACACCGAGCTGGGGTGTGACCTGAAGATGGGGAAGGAGCGTGCAAGGTGGAGGGATAGAGGGAGAGTTTTCTAGAGTTTCAGGGCATAGTGGCTGAAAGCATTGCCAGCGATGGTGAAGTGGAGAAAACAAGGGACTAAGGGACTACAGGAGGTTGAAACCAGTTCAGTCAAGCTGGTAGGGGCAGGTAGAGGAGTGTGATGTAAACCGGTCAGAGAGGTAGGGAGATGCCTGGGCCTGAAATTTGTTCGCGAGTGACAGCATCTTTAAATTGTTCTGCAATGGGAATTCAGTGGAGCCTGGCAAGGACTGGGGTGATGGACCTACAGGATTTGTGAGGATACAAGTGGGGGAGTTTTTAACCAAAGTGCAGCTTTATAACTAAAGCAAGAAGCCTGCTTTGAAGCTTATGATTTGGGCATTGTGTGACAGCCTGTCTTACTTCAGGCTGTTTGATTCTTAGCAAAGAATAAGGTCATTAACCTTTATGTATGAATTCAGTGGTTGGCAAAACAACTGTAAATTTTCCCATTAAACTAGCCACGAGATGCCAAGTTAAAAGGCATCAGCTAAAATAAATAATGGCATGGCCTGTGATCACTGTCCTGCTCATCTCCAGCACCAGCAGTTTGAATCTGGGTGAAATGAATAGTGTCCTGCCATCTGTGGTCTGAGACAGATGCCAATGAGCCACCATGGCATCTGTTACCTCAACTTAACCAAAGGGAGACAGGAGCAGCTGGGTTATGAGGCATGTGTAGCTATATATCAAAAGAGGATTAGACTCCTGAAATAACTAAGTTGATATCCCTATGAGCTTTTTTTATATTAAACAATATTAAAGTGTATGGGAAAGCATCAGGGAATTAAAATTTGAGCACCAGCACAGATAGCCCAAAATGTCAGCCCAGCTCAGTTGGTAGCAGTCTCATCTCCGAGTCAAACGGTTGTGGATTTGAGCCCCACGTCAGAGACTTTGTGCTCGCAGTCTACGCTGACACTGCAATGTAGTGCTGTGGAAGCATTGCATTGTTATAGGGTGTGGTTATTCGGATTAGACCTTAAACCGAGATCCTGTCTTGGTGTTCAAGTGGCATCCGATGATACTATTTGAAAAAAGAAGGAAATATCTCCTGTTATACTGGACAACAACTCCTGCGAGGAATTTGGTTATTCACTACAAGGCTGTTTGTGGGAAATTGCTGTGCGCAATTTGTGTTTGAATTTGATAATGGCAAAACAACTGCATTGGCAAAACAAAGGCTGCTGCATTTCCCTGCAAATACATAATCACTACACTGGGCAGTAAATCTTGTGAAGCCCTTTCAGATATATTTGGCAATATGATATGCTAACCATATCAAATGAAACGTGTTTCTGCTCAACATAATTCTTTCGGCTGCCTTTTAAAAACAATCCTTGTCGACTTAAAATACTATGCTTGATTCCCCAAGTCTAGACTTTATAAAGTTATAGGAGGTGTTGTCCAGGATAAACTTATTTTGAAAGTCTGGAGTGGAAGTCTAGTCTTATCTATCTGTGGAGTCCTGTAGCTCAGTGGTTAGATCACTCGCTTTGCAAGTGAGAGACCTGAGTTCAATTCCAGGCAGAGGGCGAAACCTTGGGCAAGTTTCCTTACTCCACACAGAGCCTAATAATAATCCCTTCAAAACCAAAAACAATAATAAATTGGTCATTTTCAATCTACGACTGTTTGTGGGACATTGCTGTGCGCAATTGGCTGCCGCGTTCGCCCACAAATATACAGTCAATTCACTTTACAGTGTGTTCTGTGAAGCGCTTTGGGACGTCCTCCCGACGTGAAAAGCGCTATATCAAATGCAAGGATTATTATTATTATTATTATTATTATTATTATTATCCATTGGTGCCAATTTTGTTTTAGAAAGAATGATACAGCATGGAAACAGGCCAATTGGCCCAACTAGTCCATGCCGGTATTTATATTCCTGTCAGGTGTCTCCACCCCTCCTTTTGCTTTCACATTATGACATTCTACTGCTGTCTCGCTCACGTATACATCAAATTTATTCTTAAATTCATTGATGCTTCTGCTTCAATGACATCTTCCGACAATGAGTTCCGCATCTTTCCACCCTCTGCCTGAAGAAGTTCTTCCTAAACTCCATATTTGGTCTATGACTAGCTAATTTATATTGAAGCCCTTCAATTTGGGCATGTGAAAAAGTGGAATTGGCCTATTGATATCCAAGTCATTGAATTTGTCCATAATCCTAAGGACACCTTCCCTTAAAATGTCCTTAAGATGTCCCCGTTCAATTGTCTCAACCCTAAAGAAAATGTTTTCAACATGACAGCTCTACTGGTAAAGTTCCTTATGTTGCATTCACTTCTGACTCCACTTGTGAACCCTTTGAACTACACTGCACTGTGTGTACTGCCATACAAGTTACAAATTTACAGTATATCAAAAACATTATGATCATGGTTATCAAATCAATGCTGTTGTTGATCATTTATCCTCTGATTCTTTTTCCATCAACTACCTGTTCTCTTTGTAATTTATCCATGGTAATGAGCTCTCCACTTATCATGCAACCACATTCTGTGATGATGATGTATTCCTCAACTTCCTTCAGATATCCTGCCCTCAGTGCACAGAGCCTTCATCCTCACACAGTGCAGTGACTAAATCAATAAACTTTGATCTTCTCCGTGTCCTTCCATGCGGCAACATAATCTTGTTTCTTTCAATTCTTGAAAGATACATCTCGTGCAATTTAATATGGAGTCATATGCAGCGAGCCCCAGACAATCTGATACAAAGGCAAAAGTGCTCCTAATTTAGGGAACAATTGTGAAGCTCCAGTGAGTGAGATGACATCCATGTCCTTGGTAGCTCCGGTGTGTGCTGACGATGATCATTCAAAGAGATTGTGTGATTCACCATTAAATTTCCAAACAAATTACAAAAGACCGATATGCAAACAACACATATATAGCTTTCGATCTCTGGATGGACTATTTGGGCCTTATCCGAGCCAAGAAAACAGATCTGGAGCAAAACTCTGACAAGAGTGATAAACAGCAAGTTGCTGTCACAGCCAGTACTTTTCTTTCAAGCTGATTTTCGGAAAGCGAAAGGCCTGAAAAGTCAGACAAAACATCAGACAGCAAAAACCCTGGCCATAAAATGATTTCTGCTCACATTTGCGATTGATTTATTTCCTCGCCTTCAGTCGTGAATTGAACGATTTCATCAGTATAGCAGGAGCCACATGAAGCTCAAGGAGTTTAGGTTTGCTTCTTTTGTTGTTCAGATATACGTTTGACACCAGCGGACACCCACCATATTAACCTTTGCATTTTATGTGACACATTATCATGTTGTCAAAACATCTCAAAGTGGTACACAGGATTAACTGTAGATGTAATGGCTGTGCATTCCTAGGTGAAGGTGGCAGCCAATTTCCGCACAGCAATACCTCACAAAGAGCTATGAAGTGAGTGACCAAGGACATTGGGAGAAACTTCCTTCTCTTTTATAATAGGGCAATGGGAATCTTTACTGTCCATCTGAACAATACAATATACTCCCGCACTGCAGTGGAGTGTCAGTCTACATTAGGGGGTTCAAAATCCCGATGTGGGGCTTCAACCCACAACCTTCTGATTTAACAAAAGTGCTATTAACTGAGCCAGACTGACACACCAAAAATATCCAAACCAAATTACTGTGAGTTCCACATACCATGAAAATGTCTTTTTTGAGAATTATTCATAGATCAGAATGGATTGGGAACAATGAAACTTTACTTCTTTGTGAATGCTGCATTATTAACTCATGTGAATGTGAATGAGCTGGGAATGAGATTCTGAACTCAATAAAGAGTTAGTAATTGAATGGATCATTGACAATGAATGGTTGGGAGAAGCTTTCTGTCAGAAATATTGGCATCTATTAGACTCAAGGCTTCTTCCGGTGATTTATTTCAATTTAATTCTCTTGAGAGTTGAGATGATCTAGAGGGGACCTGTAGGAGTCGTTAAGATTAAGATTATGAAAGGATTCAATAAGGTGGGTGTTCATAGGCTGTTTCCACTTCAACAATATATAATACATATAAGAATAATTATAATACTACAACTACTACTAATAATACTAATAATACTAAAGAGGGCATAAACCAGTTGCAGATCTGATAGGGAGTTTAAGAGTAACTTCTTCACACAGAGGGTGGGGAGAATGTGGAATTCACAGCCAGAAGCTGTGGTAGTGGCAAAAGCATCAACATATATAAGAGGAAACTTGATGATACATGAGGGAGAAGGGAACACAGGCATATTGGAGATGGGATTCGGAGGGATAAAGGCTGATGCGGAGTATAAATACTCCACATCAGCCTCCACCCCTTAAATACTAGTTGGGCCTTTATCCCATGCCGTAATGTTCCATGTAATTCTAACTAATTACAGGAAATTATCACAGATTAAAATAAGATTGGGAAAATTAAACCTCATGTGCTTTATTTCACAGAGGTTGAATACAATTAGAATCAACACAAGTTTCCAGGTCATCGTTTCTGTTTCAACCTTTTGTCTATTGATGTTAAAGATAATTTAAATTGGAAGTTTCCCTCCCCAGAGCAACTGGGAACCCACGAGTGGCCGTCTCTGTCTAATGTCTATGATGAAAAGTGCAATATTTCATCTTCCTTCTCACCCAATCCTTGGATTAACCCTTGAAATGTAGGATTAACCCTTGAGCCAAAGTCTATGGGGACTGGAGCAGCTTGTGATCTGTGCATGAGATGTTAAATTGGGTTAAATTAAGTTTCTGCCCATGGACGTTCAAAATCCCTTCAATTATTTAAAATCAGAAGGGAGTTTCTTCCGGTGACCCAGCCAACAATCCCCTAGATAAAATAGTTCATTCAACTTCATGGCTCTTTGTGGGACATTGTTGTGGACAAATTGGCTACTGTAGATTCCACAATAAAATGGCCAAATACTTTCATTTTAATAGAAAGGAGGTGAAGTGGCACGCTGCCAAATATAAACAAAGGGCAGAAGAGAGAGAGAGAGAAAAGTGAGAGGATCTGACGATGTGAAGCACCCGTAATAGCAACAGAAGTGGAGGAGAAATAAAACACCAAAAAAAAGTTCAATAGTTTGGGAGTGAGTGAAGCTGGGAATGAGACAGAATCTATAAAACAAAATTCAATGAACTTCAATTTGCTTGAAAAATTTCTGTAAAAAAAGCGAAAAGAAGATGAGTGATAGCAAGACAATGTCTGTAGAAAAAAACAGCTCATGCCAGACTGAATCATGTGTAGCTTAAGAACTGCTCTGGGTCTGTCATGATTTGAATAGCAACAATAAGATCAGTGCCAGCTATGGAAATGTAAGTTAGTAAAAAAAGACCCAACTGAAAAATGCAGCACTACTATTAACATGATCCAGGGTTTCTAATCGTTTTCACATCCTTTACAGCACATGTGTGTGACTCCAGTATTTGAAGTGGTAAACCCTTTGCAGGCTTAACTTAATCAGTTCTGCCCGCTTGATAATTTAGGTTAATTAGCGATTTATGACTCGGGCATCATTGCATTATACACACCATTAATGCCAATACTCCAGAAAATCAATCAGTTTTTGTAATGGACATAGCAGTTTCAACACAAGAGAGCTAAACTTGCTAACCTGACAGTCCCTTTCATTTGAATGTTAATTGGAGCCATCACTCAGTCACATGCTGAGCGGCAGCTTTGAGTTATATGGCATTCAACCAAACACACCAGGAAGATCCCAGCTTTGTTCCCTGCTATGCGTTGAGTTTGCTGAGGAGGTGAATTACACAAACTCCTATTGATATTTACAAAGGATGGGGGTGCAATTTCCAGCACAGCACAAATATGTTATGCCAAGGTCGATACATTTGCAAACTAGCAAAAATATGTAGCCAAGGTTTTTTTAAAAATAGAGTCCTACTGAAAAGCAATAATAATAAAAAGCAACAACAATTTGCATTGATATAGCTCCCTTCACATGGGGTAGGGTTTCAAAATCATCAGAACTGTCTTGCAGGGTGTTGACCAAACCTTTTGGCTGCTGAGGGTCAAATGCCCTATTTGAGAAACATATTTTTGTGTTTGCCTTCTAAGAAACATAACACCATTTACGGGTTGTAGAGGGAGCAGATTGGCCAGATGAAATGAAGGGAAGGGGGCAGGGGGATGAAATTGGCCTGCGGGTCAGATACATTTGTGGTTTGACCATATCTATTTTTTGTGCAATTGTACTCTTACAATTTGGACAGTATTGAGATGCTAAGAGATCCCCGGGATGTCTAGCTCACGTGGTGCACAGAAAAATAAGCTAAATGTACTGAGGTTTCTGTTACCTTGACTACATCACCGTCTTGGAGTTGAAAGGTCCTGGCTCGGAGGATGATTCCTTTTCCTGCCTGGGTCTCAATTCTGTAGATGCATTCATGATTGTTCTCATAGTTGGCTGGGTAATTAGGGGACAGCAGAGTGCCTTCCAGTGCAGTTACAGACGCTCCACATTCGGCTAAGTCACAGAAAAGAAAAGGAAACAAAAGAAGAGTGCCGGCAATTAAAACATCTTTTGGAACAACTGGCTGTAAATCACTTCAAGCTAAATCACTTCCTGATGCAAATTTCTCCTGCAGGGAGGAATGCAGGGTCTAACAATGTTGCAATGCAGGCCGAACAATGCACACACAATGCACCCATTGAGCATCGATTACTATGGTGTCTAACTTACTGAAATTCAGGCTTCTTCTCCTCTCACCCCTCTGGTTTTCGTTGCTGCTCTCTTCGAAGTGGATTCCAAATACTTATTGGTGAAAGTTTTGGCTGTGGTGGGAGGGGAATAAATCACACCAGTTCCACACCTGACATTCACACAAGCTCCCTTTCCAGCAGGGATCACTGGATTATTATTCAGTGCACAAACCCTGGCTGATATATATCCCTTCCTTAGGCAAGGTGCAATAAGGTCAATTGCAACTAACTGTAGAGCTATCCCTACCAAGATTGGCTGACAAAGCACTGACTGGGGATAGAACCTGGGGAATTGTTGGAGGGTTTCACTCTAAAGAGTGGTTTTACTAATGGAGCCATCAGGGAAGTTCAAACCCAGAGCTTTGCTTTTGTTTGTGAATTGTATGCATCATTAACTGTAATATTTAAAAATTGATAAACTGGATAATTTGTTCCTTTTATTAGCTGGAAGATTAGCTGTGGGTAATGATGTACCAAAGGAACCAATTTCTGTACACTGAAATCCGAAAGACAATTCCTTAAAACTTGTACATGATTATTTTATATCCTTCAAAAGACTCATTATGAATGCAGCTGAATTCAGGCACAGAAAACTGTACTTGAACACAATTCAAGTTGCGGAGTCCTGTAGCTCAGTGGTTAAAAGCACTCACTTTGCAAGCGAGAGACCTGAGTTCAATTCCAGGCAGGGCGAAACCTTGGGCAAGTTTCCTTACTCCACACGCCTAATAATAATCCCTCCAAAAAAAAACCAAAAAACAATAATAAATTGGTCATTTTCAATCTACGACTGTTTGTGGGACACTGCTGTGAGCAATTGGCTGCCGCGTTCACCCACAAATATACAGTCAATTCACTTTACAGTGTGTTCTGTGAAGCGCTTTGGGACATCCTCCCGACGTGAAAAGCACTACATCAAATGCAAGGATTATTATTTATTATTATTATTATAATTACATACGGGGGCTTGAGCAGGTCAGAAAGGTAAGGAGACGAAGGGATTTGGAGGTGAGGGTGCGGATTTCAAAATGGATTCTTTCAGAGATAGGGAGACAGTGGAGCTTGGCAGGGAATTTGATCGGGTGAGGATGGAACATAGTTTTGTCAATCTGGACCTTGTGGATGGTGGAACTGGGAGACCTGCGAGGAATGTGTTTGAGTTTGTTGGAGGAATTCACCTGCAGGTGGATACAGCCTGGTTTGTAAATTGTTTGAATTTGAAAGGTTTTATGTGCATAGTAAATGTATATATACTCATAGGATCAGGAGGGAGACTATTTGCTCAATTCTGCCATTTTCAAGTGATTCATCTCCAAGACCATTTTACTCTTTGAAAACATTATTGTCCATCGAAAATAAATCTCGTTATATGTGGAACAAAAATAAGTGACAAGTATCATTCCAGGTTTTCCAGACCTAGTGGAGGGGTGGTGGTGGTATGAGGGTGGGGAGTAATTGAACAAGGTTCCCGCTTTAGATCACTATTGACACATGAAACCTGATATTTCTCACAGATTTAGGATTTAAACAATTGTTAAAATGGTGCAAATTTAGGAAAATTCACACAATGTCACATTTTATCTTTACCATCTTAAGAAGAGCAAAAGCTAAATTAAATTCTTGGAATATGACAAAGGTAGTACATTTTAGATCTTTCTATAAAATACAACTAATGCTTGCATTTGATACAGCACCTTATCACATGATCAACATTTCAATTTGAACATAGCAATATTCCACAAAAAGAATTGGTCATTCCCTGTATGGCTTTCTAAGTGACTGTTGGCCAGGATGCTTGAAGAAACTACCTTCTCTTTTCAAATGATGCTGTGGGATCTTTATAATAATAATAATCCTTGCATTTGATATAGCTCTTTTCACGTCTTCTAGACGTCTCAAAGCACTTCACAGAATAGTCTGTAAAGTGAATTGACTGTATATTTGTGTGTGAAATGCGGCAGCCAATTGCGCACAGCAGCGTCCCACAAACAATCGTGGATTGAAAATGACCAATTTATTATTGTTTTGTTTGGGAGGGATTATTATTAGGCATGTGGAATAAGGAAAGTTGCCCAAGGTTTCACCCTGCCTGGAATTAAATCCAGGTGTCTCGCTTGCAAGGCGAGTGCTCTAACCACTGAGCTACAGGACTCCACAGGAAGGAGGAACAGACACACAGGACCTCGGTTTAACATCTCGTTGAAGGACATCACCTCTGGCAATGCAGCGCACACCCAGCACTGCACTGGAGTGTCAGCATAGACCATGAGCTCAAAGTCCCATTGTGGGGCTTGAACCACAACCTTCTGCCTCAGAGGAGAGTACAACTCTCTCTTTGCAAACTGTGACGTTTTACTTTAGATATACATCTGCAAGCAACTCCCTTGAAATATGTACAGTACACTCAAAGTTAGGATGCATGAAATGAAAGCATGTGACCACCTACCCACACACCTTGGAAGAGGTGCACTCCACACACGCCGCCCTCCTCCGTAACAGGAAATCTGAGTGGCACCTTCTAGTCGGTATCCAGGAAAACAGGAAAATGTGAGTGAGTCTCCAACTTCAAACTGAAAGCCTATTCTTCTGCTGAAGGCAGGAACACCGGGATCATCACAGGGCTCCAGATCATATTCTGGGAAGAGAAAAAATGACCGCATCAGAGAAGGGAACATAGAACACAATTTGGGAGCTATACATTTCAAGATCCTATGGGTGTGTTTCCAAACGCTACATCCCACATTTCCATCGAGCCTTCTTAGCCTGAAAGATTATTCTGTCTCCAAATTTAAGAGTGTGCAAAATTGTAGCAACTTGAATACAAAGTCAGGAGGACAAGACACCTAAAATTCTACCTAATCTTCGTCCTGGAATTATATTTTGTCTTAAAATCTAAGATTGTGCAGTTCTTCATTTCAATCTGAGTTTGGAAGCTGATTTCTTTTAAAGACTGCAGAAAACCGACTTCCAAACTGAGACTGAATTGAAGAATTTTGCACAGGCCTGAACAGTGATACATTTAAAGACCGTGCCTTGAAAGCTAAAGTCCAGGTGGCATCTCGAGCCTTTAAGTGGGAGAACAGAAGATGGTTTTGTATCACAACATCTTGATGTTTGACTGATATTCTTCTTTATCCTTCACTTCAGTGTAATATTCACATTTGAAAGTACATGTTGTGCCATCCTAACACAATCCAAATGTATATTTATGCAGCACCTTTCACATCAGGATGACGTCCCATTGAGCTTAACAATACTGGCTTGGTGCCCCAGCTGGGGGCAGGAGCTGAGGTGGGTGCAGAGGGCAAAGATGACTGAAAGAGTAGTCAAAGAGACAGGCCTTAGATCTAACCAGATAATAAGACTTGCCTGCTCCATTCTGTTGAATATCTAATTTGCAGAATTTAAACTTTGTTTCACTTATTAGGACAAACAAACAAATCCCCTCATGGCAAAAACTCCAAGAAGGGACTATTATTTGAATGGATGGGAAATAATATGCTATGGAAAATAAAAAGGACCTAGGGGTCCTGATTAACAGTAAATTTAAGCTCTCGCAGCAATGGTCTATGGCAGCGAGTAAAGGAAACCAGATGTTGGGGTGTATCAAACAATCAATAGCAAGCTGAAATAGTGGGGTAATCCTTCCACTAAATAAATAATTGGTGAGACTACTGTGTACAGTTTTGGTCGCTGCAGTACAAAAAGGATAAGGGAGAAATTGAGAAGATACAGAGGAGGGCAACCAGAATGTTTGAGGGAATGGAGGGATTGGATTATGAAGAGCTACTAAGTAAATTGGGCATGTTCACTCTGGAAAAGATTGAGAGGCAATATGATTGTTGTCTTTAAGATTCTAAAGGGGCAAGACAATATAGATCATGACAGGCTATTTCATACTAAACCAGAGGACACGGTCTGCGATTGAAGGGGGGGTAAATTCAGAACAAATCTACGGAAACACTATTTCAGTGAGTGAATAGTAAACCTGTGGAACAGGCTTCCTAGGGAAATGGTTAAGCAGGAAGTGTTGATTCCTTCAAACACCGATTGGATAGTTTTCTTTTAGGAAATAACGTTATGGGATATAGTACATAGGTACTTCGGAACATAATTGCATGCGACCAGCACGAAGGTGGAAGACAAACTAGATGGGCCTTGGTCCTTTTTATCATCTAGCATTTCTTATATTCTTATGTTTTTACACTGCTGCCTGAAATAATTTCTTTTTTCATCACATAATAATAGAGGTGAAAATGCTAACCTTGAATATATTATTTAACAGTGCTTTGGCACATTGTTGACAAATGTGGCCAGTCAACTTCTAAAGACATTGACGTTCCATGGGTGTGCTTGCTCTCTCCCCCTACCAGATTCAGTCAAAATGAATCAAAGCCAGTTACACTTGATTTAGTCGATTTGTACATTGGACGCGCCAGCTGCGCATCGAGGCACCTGACTTTTTTTGCTGAGTTAAGCTGGTATCCCGCTAAACGAGGGACATTTTTCGACAATGTGTTAATTACGACATCGTAGGTAGTAATCTCCATCCCAACGTGTTCCAATTTACATTGAGACAGATTATGCTCCGTCTGATATTACGAGTCCCTCAATTCATCCTGGGGCTCTCTTTATTTCCTTTACTCTGCCTGGGCTTTTATACATTCAAAATGCCTAACTAGAAAGACTGTGAAAACACCTGCCATCTGGGTGACAGTGGTCCACCCGTTCTTATGACCTGTAAATACACTGCTTTTTTATTGGTTTGTGAGGGGTTGTCCGCCTACCTGAAAACGTTATGTTGAACCCTTCGTAAGACACGGAGAAATCTGAGATGAAGCGAAGTTGTGCTGTATAATTTCCAAAGAGACCTGCGTTGATTGTCGGGGGCAGGGCAGAGCCGGTGAGACGTGCTACTGGCTCTGTGAAACTCCCATCTTCTGTGACGATCAAATAGTCGTGGGAAGTCTCCAGGTGAAATTTGTGAAATATCAACTGTACCCCTAAAGATAGTGAAAGGAGAGATCTTAGTGACCATCATAAATCTATGGACTTCCATCGGATGCGGCAATAAAATTTATATAGACAGCACCTTTCACATCAGGAAGACATCCCAAAGAGTTTGACACAGCTGATTGGGACGATGGGGGGAATATGGCTGACAGCGCAGGTCTTAAACTCCTTTTTTCTATCTCAAAAAGATAGATCTTAAAGTAGGTTTAGAATGTAGAGAGGCAGGAGGAGAAGTGGAGGGTTTCCGGGAAGGAGATGCAGATCGCGGGGGCAGGATGCCTGAAAATCGCCCAATTCGTGTGTGCCAGTGTTTGTACTTCACAAGAGTCCCCATCCCTATGGATGTAAATATATCTTACCCTGTCCGTGAGATACTTCCACTGTCCACGTGCAGTTTAACGAGTTCGGGTAAAAGTCAGGAAATCCGGGTGACAGAATGGTTCCACTTTTGCCATGAATGTAGCCGCCACAGAAAGCTTAGACACAGAATTAAAAAAAAACACAGGATGAAAGTAGCAACACAAATAAAATCACTCATTATTCTTTTAACTCTGGTGGCAAAATAAGGGGGGAAGAAATTCTACCTTGGTCAATAATTCCTCTATTTCCTAACATTTCTGAGCATTGTCGAATGTTTAAATGGTCTTCATTTTTTACTCAGTAAATGTTTAAGAACTTCAGAAAAGCAACTTCAAATTTAATGGTGACTTCAGCAATTCTGAATGCTGAATGGCCTTCTGCTGTGCTGCAAATTTCTAAAACTGTACGATAATTAACAAGCAATTCTTTCTTTATTTGATAACTTTCCAGTGCGTGAAAATTACTTTCTTTAACCTTTGAGGCATCATATTAGGGAGAAACCTTAAATGCAGATATTGTGAAAAGGCAGTCTCTCACCTTCACAGCTTGGTAAAGCGTGGTTCCATTGGCGGTTGTTTTCACAAACCAGGGGTTCATCGTCACTCAGAGTGTAACCTGGGCTGCAGCTAAAGGACACAGTTGACCCAATCGAGAGGTTGTTTCCATGTCGCCGTCCATTTACTGGAATACCTGGATCCAGGCATGAATCTAATTCCAAAGTAACACCTATAAAGTACAGAAGTACAGTGCTAAGAATAAGTTTGGTGTAAACAGGAGGCAGATCACAGATCCATATAGAACATAAGAGGGATCATGGATCCACAGGGTGCCAGAACACATCTGGCTTCTGATGCTGACACTTTGGTTGCTCTGTATCATGCCCAGACACAGAATGCCTAAAGTCAGTGGCATGCCAGCAAATCACTGGAAATGCTCACAAGAGCAGTCACCGCTGACTGCCGGCTTCTAGTTTCTGTGTCGATAGCGTCAACACATCAGCAATCTGACAACACAAAGCACTGACCAGCGACTGATCTATAATGTGGCTCAGGATAACACAGGGCTGATTTTATGGACCTGAGCAACAGTGTTATAATGGAATCTGACGGTGTCATATTTCTGATGAAAAAACAGACATGAGTCTTTGAAATATAAAATAAATACTTTACATTTTTATGCTGCCATATATCTATATTCTGGGAGGGAGGTAAGTGGGATCTCCTTGGAGTTGAACTGGCTCCAAGGTGCCATGTTTGGCATTGGAATGTCAGAATCAAGCCAACCCTCTGTGGCTGTCTCAGTAGTTCAGTTCCTGAGTCAGATGGGTCCACGGTATTTTAGGGTGCTGCTGATGACAGCACAGGCAGCCTAGCTAATTAGCAAGACTTGGAAAGGAAGACCAGTCACTTGGAGTAAGAATTCTTCCCACTCAACTCCTGTGAACCCTGCAAACCAAAGCCCTAACAGGTAGGATGGTCCTCCCTGGACAAGCATTAGGGAAACTTACCAGACAATGCTTTCATTGGTTTTAGTTTTCTGTAGAGGTGGGATGCATGTAACTCTTATGGTTCTGATAGTGACAGTTTTGCACATGACCAAAAATAAATAAAAAGTGCCTTATAATGCTGAAAGATCTTGCCTTATGTTACTATTTTAAGCGTATTGACTGTTTTTGTAGGCAATCGTTTGTAAGTCCTATAGCCATAAGAAGAATGATCCATTAATGTGGGATTATTCGTTAGGACACCGGAAGAAATTCCTTCCTTGAGCAGCCCTATGGTGTCTATACAATCCACCTGAAGGACAGGTATAAAGAACTCAATATAATTTGTCATCTGAAAGACAGCACCTTGGTAACACATCACTCCCACAGTATGATCCTCTGGCCTCTAATCTCAATATGGGGCTTGAACTCACAATTTTCTAACTCAAGAGCCAACCTGACACAGGGTGTAAAAGACACACACGACAAAGACACAAGCAGGTTCCTTACCCTGCAATCACATTACAAGAGCACACAAGTATGACATTGGCAAGCACCAAGTGAGATATTGTTCGGAAAAGGTTTTCATTCACATCGAGTAACATTCATGCGGGCCAGATTGTATCGGGAGGAGCTAATGTTGTGTTGATTAGCTCCCTTCAAAAGGAGCTGGATAAACACATTTTTACACAATAGGGAAGGTTATCAAGATAAAGATAATTTAAAGATTTGCCACCATCTCTGCTGGGACTATGTGGAAAGGTTATCTAGAGAATACATCCTGTTAGGGCTGAAGAATATAGATTGTAATGTTCGATTTAAGTCTGCTGTCTCTCAGACCTACTTCAAGCTGTGTTTAACCTCCTCTGAAATAACACCAGTGAAAGAGCAGTTTAACAACATTTCAATTGAAGATGAATTCTAGAAGGAGTAAAGTACCCAAGTTAAGAAACTCATGTGTATCCCATTGAATTGTTTTGCAGTTCAAGCTGGCCTGTTTACCTAATGATTTTCTATGACTAAGTTTGGTTGTTGAAAACAGCAGACATCTGAACCAATATCATTCAAAGGTGGCACCATAATAACAGTATGACAATAAGAATAATCCTTGCAATTGATATAGGGAGTCCTGTAGCTCAGTGTTTAGAGCACTCGCATCACAAGTGAGAGAAGTGGGTTTGATTCCCGGCAGGGCGAAACCTTGGGCAAGTTTCCTTACTCCACACGCCTAATGATAATCCCTCCAAAACAATAATAAAATTGGTCACTTCAATCCATGACTGTTTGTGGAACACTGCTGTGCGCAATTGGCTGCCGCATTTCGCCCACAAACATACGGTCAATTCACTTTACAGTGTGTTCTGTGAAGTGCTTTGGGACATCCTCCCGACATGAAAAGCGCTACATCAAATGCAAGGATTATTATTATTATTATTATTATATTCTGTGAAGCTCTTTCAAAATACTGGAAGACGTGAAAAGTGCTATATCAAATGCAAGGATTACTATTATTATTATTATAGCACCTTTCACATAGGACGGATGTCTCAAAGCGCTTCACGGAATTCATTGGAAAGTGTAGTGAACATAAGAACATAAGAATTAGGAGCAGGAGTAGGCCATTCGGCCCCTCGAGTCTGCCCCGCCATTCGATAAGATCATGGCTGATCTTCAGACCTAACTCTAATTACCTGCCCTATCCCCATATCCCACAATCCCTCTATTTTTTAAAAATCTATCAGTCTCAGCCTTGAGGACGTTCAAGGACTGAGCATCTACAGCCTTCTGGGGTAGTGAATTCCATAAATTCACTACCCTCTGCGTGAAGAAATGTATCCTCAACTCTGTTCTGAAACGCTGACCCTTAATTTTAAGACTGTGACCCCTGGTTATAGATTCTCCTACGAGGGGAAACAAACCCTCAGTGTCTACTTTATCAGCCCTTTAAGAATCGTATATGTTTCACTAAGATCTCCCCTAATTCTTCTGTACTCTATAGAGAATACAGCCCTAGTTTATTCAGCCTATCCGCATAGGTCAATCCCCTCATCCCAGGAACTAACCGAATGAATCTACGCTGCACCCCCACTAGGGCAAGTATGTCCTTTTTTAAATAAGGAGACCAAAACTGCACACAATACTCTAGGTATGGTCTCTTCAAGGCCCTGTACGGTTACAGCAAGACTTCCCTACTCTTGTACTCTAAACCTTTTGCAATGAACGCTAACGTGCCGTTCGCCTTCTTGACTGCGTGACTGCGTGTTTTGTCGGTGAATGCGGCAGTTAATTTGGGCACAGCAACATCCCACAAATAGCCATGCGATGAATGACCAATTTTATCAGGGAAATCATTTATCAGGATATTGGGATACATTCTCTTCTCTTTTTGAGTAGTACCATGGGTTCCTTGACATCCATTTGAACAGGCAGATGGGACCTCGATTTAATGTCTGCACTGCACTGGTGTGTTAGTCTAGACTTTGATTTCAAAGTCCCAACGCAGGCCTTGAATCCACAAACCTCTGACTCAGAGGTTACTAACTGAGCCAGGCTTATACCATGACTGACATTATAGGGCGAGGGGACATGCTCCACACATACATCTGACCTAGAGACAAGAATATGTCCTGCTAAGCCAGACTTACACATGAACTTTGGGCATTAAGTAATGGTTAACTCATTTATTTATTTTCAAATTGGCAAGTTGCATGCTGCAAAACAGTAAATCCAACTTCCCAAGTACTTGCTGAAAACATGCCAAGTTTTAATCAGATCATCTAATCCTCAACACCCACTGCAACACAAATTAGCACATAATGCAACTCTGACAATTTGTTTCCATCATCTAATAAAATCAAGTCCACCCTTTTACCCTGAAACACAAATCCATTGACAAACACGACCACGCGCACAAATATTCCCTCAAATACAAGCACATACAAATACACGCATCAATCACACAGATATTTGCACACACAGATATGCACACCAATCGCACAGATACAGACAAACAGACATACACATTCACACATGCACATTACACACACACATAGAAACACGTACAGACACACACATGTACATACACACAAACATACAGATACACACAGAGAGAATTAGATCAATGATGAGTAACTTTGACTTAAGACTCACTAAGAAAACAAAAATAAAAATATACTAGAGAAGCCCAAAAATAATTCAAATTTATCCAAATTCAGGCAAAAAAGAATAATCCTTGCATTTGATATAGTACCTTATCACATCGTTGAGACGTCTCAAAGCGCTTCATAGAATATAATAATAATAAACCTTGCATTTGATATAGAGCTTTTCACGTCGGGAGGACATCCCAAAGCGCTTCACAGAACACACTGTAAAGTGAATTGACTGTATATTTGTGGGCGAACGCGGCAGCCAATTGCGCACAGCAATGTCCCACAAACAGTCATGGATTGAAAATGACCAATTTATTATTGTTTTTGGTTTTTTTTTGGAGGGATTATTATTAGGTGTGTGGAGTAAGGAAACTTGCCCAAGGTTTCGCCCTGCCTGGAATTGAACTCAGGTCTCTCACTTGCAAAGCGAGTGCTCTAACCATTGAGCTACAGGACTCCACAGTGTACTTGTAAAGTGTATTTTTTGGGCAAAACACAGCAGTCAATTATGCATAGCAGTGTCCCAAAAACAGTCATAAAATGAGTGACCACATTTTTTTTTGGTGGGATTACTCCCGGAAAGTGATCCACCAATCGACTAACAACCGGGTTCATACTTACTGCTCGGTAAACAGGCATGTGGAGTAAGGAAATTTGCCTAATGTTTTGCCCGCGGGGAATCAAACCTAAAATTGAGTTTGAAATAAACTCCTCAATAATACACGCCTGCACAGCATGACAGAAGAGCAATAATGTGCTGGCTGGTGTTGGTAATGTGAGAAAACTGGAACCATGATCCAGCTCAAATGTTTACAAGTAAACATCCAGCTTCTCAAATATCTGTACACAGCAGGTACCACACACCAGCTTTCGCTTTCCTATGTGAAACATCAATATATTTGCAGTATACATTGTGCAATGGCTGAGGCATAGAACATAAAAGTGAAATGAAAGTTGTCAACTATCACACTGCCAAAAATTATCACATTGTCATTTGTATATCGCAGGTCAGGCATGACCATTGTATGACAATGGTGGAGTCTGGGACCAGTTTCAGGGCCATTGCACTCACTCTACAGAGCTCATCATTGGAGTGCTAAGTCTTGGCATAAGTTATGTTGAGGCCTCCACTCAAATCTCCCCTGGCCAAAAGTGAATCTTCTTCAGTGAGTGAGTTGCTGAATCGTCAGACCTGAGGCCTTTGCATGATTAATTTGACCCCAGGCAAGGTGGTTTTAGGAATGCTGCAGGTACCTTCAACACATCTACTTAGGGAAAGGGAAAATCTGCAAAGTTTCCCGCTCATGATTGCTATCTGGCAGGATTGGCTTTGTCTGTGATGCCATCTGCATTAAATAACCTGCCGCACTATCAAAGCTCATAGGTCATTTGAGTGAAGAGAGAAGTGTAACTGGTCTAGTAACTGAATATGGATAGTGGTGATCCAACCAAACCCCTTCTCCAAATGTCCTGGCCTCAACCACTCTTCCTGCAAACTTGACCCAGTCATTAATTACCCTCTGGGTAAAGAAAAATCTTCCTGGTTTCTGCCCTAAAATGATAATACTTGCATTTGTTATAGTACCTTATCACATCTCAAAGCGCTTCACATGATATACTGAAAGTGGATTGACTGTGTATTTTGTGGTTGCACGCATTGGAGCAATGTCCCACAAACAGCTGTGGAGTGATTGACAATTTTATTTTTGTGACTTTGTTGGTCAGGACACAGGGAGAAACTCTATACTCTTTTTAAATAGTGCCATGGGATTTTTAACGTCCACCTGAACAGGCAGTCAGGACCTCGGTTTAACATCTTATCCGATGGACGCCACCTCTAACAATGCAGCAAAGCCCCCCAGCAATGCATTGGAGTATCAGCTTGGACTATTTAATCACAAGTTCCAATGTGGGGCTAGAGCCCACCACCTTCTGGCTCAAAGGCAACACTCACACATAAAGTTGCCCTTTGTAACGCCAAACCTTATGTCCCTCTTGTTGCACTGTCTCAGTGGATCCGAAAGTATTGTTCTGGGTTTACCTTTTCAATCTCAGTTAACATTTAACAACCTCTATTAGATCCCCTCTCAGACATCTTCTCTCAAGACTGAAGAGCTTGTTTAATTATTGCTCACTATTTGGGACTTGCTAGTTAATACGCACATAAACTATTGTCGCATTGAAGCTGTGAAAAGAAATAGATGGCTTGCACTGTGTAAAGGATAGGGTGCATTTCCTCATTACAGGGCCAGTGCTGAAATCCAAACATAAAATAAAACAATTTGTTCTCCTAATTGGATTGAAGTAAGGCGAGTATTTAATGGTGCTTAACTGTAAACACCAACAATTCAATCTGTTAAAATATATGGTGTGTGTTAATAAATAACTCGAACTCAAGGGCATTCCACTAAAATGTATGCATTTTATCTTCCAGGTTGGACTGCAGCTTACTGTCTACAGATATTGTTTCTACCCAGAATTTCAAAGTGCTTCCCTCCAGACCATCAAAAGCCCACCTTGATACCTATCCTTTGATTGCACTTTTGACCTGCCCATCCCTTTCCGAACTCCACACACGCAACTCAGGCTCCCAGCCACCTGCATGAAGTGCTTTGAGACATCCTCTTATGTGAAAGGCACTAAATGAATGTTGGACCTAAAATTAACCCCCAAATGTATAGCTGCAGTCCAGCAACACTGTAATGTAACACAGTCTGCATTTAATAGCTTTTTGTAACGGTGGCTGCAGGGTGGAATCAAAACACTGTCACAAAACAGAAGGCATATTTCTGTATTATGGCAGATGGGGTATAAACTGTAATATTGGTTGACAGGTGGGAACAGAGTGAAATTATGTGTCATCCTGGCTCAGTTGATAGCACTCTCGCCTCTAAGTAATAAGCTTCTGAGTCCATGCCCCACCTTGGGACTTCAAACTCATATCGTCTAAGCTGATACCCCAATATAATGCTGGGAGTGTGCTGCATTTTTAGAGTTGCTGTCCTTCAGATGACACATTAAACCAAGGCTCTGGGCTGGATTAACCAATACGAATATGGAAAGAATACGTTAATTTTAATTAAGGAGTGCAATGATACATTTACGTTTTGCCAGTCAAACACTGAAAAACAAAACAAAAACAAATTTAGTGTGAAGTTGAGCAGGTTCTGGAACCCAAGCCGCAGTTCATGACAACCTGTGCCTAACACTCTCTGAAATTAAGTAAGCAGGTTGCGTCCCTTTGGGAGAGAGAGCGTCTTTCCGTTCCAGTCACAGGGAGATTTCCAAGTATAGGCGGCAACAATGAAAACGACGTGCACGTATATAGTGCCCTTCACACGGGGTAACATCTCGGAACCATGTGACATACTTAGGTGGAACTCTCAGGCTGGTTTGGATGCTATTAAGCATGGCGACGGGTTTCTGAATGTATCAGATACCTGTCTGACCAAAAAAAATTCCACCCCTACATTCCACAGTCACCAAACTGAAAAAGAAAGTCAACAGTAGCAAAACATAGTGGCTTCGGACCTGTGTATGGAGCACTCAGTCACAGACAGGACAAGAAGCAAACTTACTTTCATAGCGAATCTGAAAGCCCACACTTGATCGGCTGTTGTCAGTCATGAATATGAGATACATGAAATTTCCAGTGCTTATTAGAAACTGGGGCGCTTGAGTTCCATGGTATTCTCCTATTAAAGGGGCTGAATTCACAGATCCGTCCCGGACTTCTAATGTGTCGTAATTAACTTCTGTCTGAAACCTGTGAAGAAAGGAAAAAAATATATAAATTTACATTGGTATAAATTTATCCTCACAATGCCTCTGGAAAGAAATACCCAAACAGGCTATTTCTCAAATAACTATAAGTTATCTAACTATATAAGTTAGATAAATAGCTGTTTATGCTTATTTTTAAGAACTCTTGGTTCCCAAAATTAATTTAGAAATTTTACAAACTTTTACACCATCTTCAATTATAAGAGAATAGTTGTTAATAAACCCGCCTCTGATCACAAGTGAGTGCATGGTGTTAGATTATGATGTCAGAACTAAAGGAGTTCATCGTGCTTGAGGCGTTGCCAGTTGCCCCACTTCAGCTACATGGTCTAAACTCATTCCCTTGTTCTCTTCCCAAAAACCTTTTGCATCTTTAGTTGTTGAGCATTTATCTCTACATTTATCTTTAAATGTAGAGATTACATTTAATTAATTATCACCCATATCTAGTGTGGACAGCATCAGACTTCGCTGGTTGATGGGCACCAGGTTGCTGACACTCACTGCTTCCATCTGATATGAAAGACAGTCACTTGGAGAGAACCATCACCAACCATAACAACTTGAATCTATATAATAATAATAATAATCCTTGCATTTGATATAGCGCTTTTCACGTCGGGAGGACGTCCCAAAGCGCTTCACAGAACACACTGTAAAGTGAATTGACTGTATATTTGTGGGCGAACGCGGCAGCCAATTGCGCACAGCAATGTCCCACAAACAGTCATATGGATTGAAAATGACCAATTTATTATTGTTTTTTGCTTTTTTGGAGGGATTATTATTAGGCGTGTGGAGTAAGGAAACTTGCCCAAGGTTTCGCCCTGCCTGGAATTGAACTCAGGTCTCTCACTTGCAAAGCGAGTGCTCTAACCACTGAGTTACAGGACTCCACAATATTGCCCTTCAATCAGGGTAGAGTCTCAGAACACTTAAAAAGGCATAGATTGATGCCGAGATGGGGAGATGACCATATGCAGGGTCAAAGAAAAGTCTTCAGATGCCTCTGATGACTTGAACATGGGGCAAGGCAGAGGGATTCAGGCAGGGAGTTCCAGATAGACCATAATAATAACCTAACCATAGACCATCCAACCATAACCTAACACAAGTTTCCATCAAAAGAAGAAAGTAAAGGGATAATATTAGAAGCAAATCCCTTTTCTAACTTGGTTTTTCGTTCGTGCCTGTTTGGATGGCAACCACTGGATTTAGAGCTTAAATACATGATGGAAAGGTCACACAGATAAGTAATCTGGGACACCACACTATGGGAGGGGAACTATAAAAATGCAAGTTATTGTTGTCACAACTTGATAGTCTAATGATCAAAATAAGATAATAATCCTTGCATTTGACACAGCACCTTATCAAATCCAAACGTCTCAAAGTGCTTCACAACATTTTCTGTAAAGTGTTATAATTGTATACTTGTAGGCAAACAATGTACAATTGATTAGTATTTCAATGTATTTGTGTGGGAGACATCCTCTAATAGGTAAAACGTCAATTGTTGCCCCAATAGACACCAAAACATTTTGGTGCATTGAAACAACCCTTTTGTCGTGAGACTTTCCATAACTAAATGAACAAGGTCAAAAAGACTACTGAATCAATAGACATGTGTTTCACTCTAATTCCTAAGCCTGCTTGAGAAAAACATTCAGTGTAATAACGATGGCAAGAGACTGCTGTTTGCCTTGAAAGACTTTCAGCTCAAATCCAGTCCATGGAGAGACAACAGAGTTAATCTTTCAGTGAAGTGTTTCAAGTCCCACAACTGAATTGGCTGCTTTCACAAATATAATTGCACAACACACAGTTGTCCCAGTGCAACAACTTAATTTGGAAGCTTCTGTGCTGAAGGTTTGGAGCTGATATGTTACTTGATACAACAGAAGACAGTATAAGATAAGTAATGTGGTCACCCTTCTATCCCTACCCTCCCTGCCCTCCTACTCAGGTCAAAATCCCAGTGTCTTGGGATGTCCTCTGTCGTGAAAGACACTATATGAAGGTAAATTATTGTTACTATTCTGGGGGGAGCGTCACCTTGTAAAAGTTGCTGAGAAATTAAAACAAGATCCTGTCTGCCTGTTTAGATGACCTTTAAAGGTCCCATGACACTACTGCAAAAGAGAAAGGAATTTCTACCAAAACCCTGGCCAACAATCCTTCAGATAATTAGTCATTTGCTTCACGGATATTTATAGGACCCTGCTGTGTGCAAATTGGCTGTAATGTTATGAACACAGCCATTACCTGTGACAACAATTACCTGTGAAGTCCTGTTAAATTTACAGATGCTGCATCAAATGCAAAGATATACAACATTTATGTATGATCATTATTAGAGCCGAGTGAAGTTGGGACCGCTCAGTTCATAACCATAATACCACAATTCACGTATGTGTGCACAGGGTAGAGCAGGGAATGGATCCTTTCACCAGCAGTGTTCCTCTGCCAAGAATAATCGGATTCAACATTATTTTTCCAGTGTCTGTTCCAAGAAAGAAGTGAATTATGATAAGGAAATAGCCCACATTCACTTCACCAGGTTCCAAGATCCTCTCAATCTTACAATAATAATAATAATTCTTGCATTTGATATAGCGCTTTTCACATCTTCCAAATGTCTCAAAGCGCTTCACAGAATATACTGTAAAGTGAATTGACCGTATATTTGTGGTCGAAACGCGGCAGCCAATTGCGCACAGCAGTGTCCCACAAACAGTCGTGGATTGAAAATGACCAATTTATTATTGTTTTGTTTTGAGGGATTATTATTAGGTATGTGGAGTAAGGAAACTTGCCCAAGGTTTCGCCCCGCCTGGAATTGAACCCAGGTCTCTCGCTTGCAAGGCGAGTGCTCTAACCGCTGAGCTACAGGACTCCACGAATCCTCGCTCCAACTGACTCTCTGTACACTGGCAAATTGACTTCAAGATTTTATATACCTCCAAGGCCTTGCCCCACCTTATCTCTACTTTATTCCACCGACTGTGGCCTGTTTCATAACCATCCTGATCCATTCCACTGTCGGCGGGTGAACTTTCAAGCACTTTCCACTCTACCTAGCCAGCTCTCTCTCTGCTTTCAAAAACTCTCTTCATTCCTGTCTCTTGGCTGTTCATCTCCTCCTTTCCCCTCCACCCATCTCCCAGCCAGCTCACGTTCCCACTCTGTCTTTGTAAAATGTTGAGACATTCGCCCTACGTGAAAAGCTTGATACAAGTGAAAATTATTGTTAGGTTTATTTCGTCCCCGCCCCCACCCTCCCGCTCCAAGTGATTTGTTAACAAATGTGACGAAAACTTCATGTTCCCTTTAATTTTTGCTCTTCCCCGGTCAAATGTTACATTATTACCAAAGGCAACTCAAGTTTATTTGCTCTGGGATGCGATCCAGACAGAGGGGTGCTGTATAAATATATAAAGTTGTTTTTGTTGTCTATAGCAACTCTCTTCAACTCAATTTCCTTTTGAACTCTGTTTCCTCCTGAAGCTAACACACCTGTCAAAGGTTATCTTGATGGTATGCCGGGGTCTCGCTTCAATCACCCATTCACAGTTCAGCGAATCCTTGTAGTAACCGGGCCATCCTGGTGACAAGATGATGCCACTTGGTGCTGTCAAGTGCCCACCACAAGGGGCTGCGAAATAACAAATAAACATAACGTGTTCAGTTCAAACCCAAACAGGCAGAAAAGTTCTAAACTTAAATGTCATAAAACTACTTCGGAACAGGAATAGATGTCCTCTTCGCTGGTCTCCCCAGCTCCACCATGCACAAAATTCAATTAATTCAAAACTCTGCCTCCTGGATACTCACCCTCACAAAACTCCATACCCCCATCACACCAGTCCTTGCCAGGCTCCACTGGCTCCCAATCACCGAACAGATCGATTTCAAGATCCTTTCACTTATTACCAAATCACTTAATTCACTCGCACCTCCTACCTATCCGACCTGTTTACTCCCCACTCCCCCATCCGCTGCCTCCACTGATCGTGCGTATGATCACCTACCCCTCCTTCTCCCCCTGGCTCGTTGTCAGACTTTAAAGTGCCCCGGGACGCTACCCAGCGCGAAGGGTGCTATATAAATACAAGTTGTCATTGTTGTTGTAGATCATATGGCCCATGTTCTATCATTAAATCTATAGTATTTCTAATTCCACATGTGGAAATTTATCACCAGGCTAAAATGTATCCAAACCAAACTATTGACGATTTGCCTCTAATACTATCGCTTTACTTGCCTCTTCTGATGGACGCAATTGGTAAACAAATTCCAATGCCTCTTTCAATCCTAACTAAAAACGTTGGTTTCAGTGCTCACCTTCACATCTTGGGACAGCGGAGTTCCAGATAACATTGCCCTCCTGCATGATACAGGTTATGGCCTCCGATCCCTGTGTTTTAATAAATCCTTCGTCGCAATGGAAGGAGACAGAGCTTCCCAACAGGAAAATGTCACCAAAGCGTCGTCCGTTCACTGGAATCCCAGGGTCGTGGCATTCATTTTGTCCAAAAGCTGTTTAATATATGAAAAAAAATACTGTGTAGCAAAATCTGTCAGGAAGAACACGTAACTCGAGGGAAACGTCACAGAGAAACAGGAACAAGTTCACATCAATAAAGACGTCTTTCAGTGCAAGTGCTCACAGGAAGGTGAAAATTCAAGCTTAGGAATCTCTTTTCGTGCCTTTATAGAATGCATGGCACCACTGCATCATTACAGTGTATTCATTTTAGCTGAGGGTCTGTTGGCCAGGACACCAGAAAACTCCCTGATCATCACTTTAACATCCACCTGAAAAAGCAGACAGAACCTGAATCTAACGTTGCATCCATTCATCAGGACAGCACCTCTGACAATATGTAGCGCAACCCCAGCCCCTGGACTGGAATGACAGCTGGACCATTGTGTTCAAATTCCTGATGTGGGACTTGAACCCATAACCTTCTATCTCCGACAAAAGGGTGCTATCAACTCAACCAGTTTGTCCTGTGAATCGGCAATGAAATCCCACACTTCACAGCCAGCCTGTCCCAATGGAGGGTTACTGAAAGCTCTGGTTCCACCCATTGCGCCTAACCCGTGGGGAGGAGCTCATTACTGCGTTATCGGCTGGCTCGCCTGCAACTGTCAACAGTAGCAATAATTCATAACATCACATGTTGTTATGTTCACTTCATCCTTGCGGACGTGACACACACAACATTCGTAATCTGTGAAAACACTATTTCAGTGAGCGAGTAGGGGAGACGGTGGAAACAGAAAGTGTTGATTCTTTCAAGAGCAAATTACTTAGACTTCTTTTAGGATCTAATATTTTGGGATACAGTGTATAATTTGGGACAAAACACGTGCATATGACTGCCAGGATGGTGGAAGGCAAACTGAATGGAGCTTGGTCTTCTTTCATCCAGCAATTCTTATGTTCTTATGTTCACTGACACCAAGCATAGAAACATAGAATCTTACAGAGCAGAAGGAGGCCATTTGGCCCAATGTTCCCGTGTCAGCTCTTGAAGGAGCTATCCAACTAGTCCCACTCTCCCGCTCTTACCAAGAGGAAGCATGGGCCATGACAGACAAACAGCAATACCGAACGTACTTGTGTAAGTGATGTTAAAGCCCCGGCCGGTGGTGGAGTGATCAGACTGAAACTCCAGGCGGGCGACATGCCCATTGCTGGCCAGCTGTGAGGGCATGTCGTCGCCTGAGAAAGTGCCCAGGACGGTGGAATCTGCCATGCCGTCGTCTTTGACCGTGAGGTAGTCAAACTGGGGCTCCACGTCAAAATCGTTGAAAATGAGGTGGATCCTGCTCTCAGTCTCCGTGATGATCAGCCACACACAGTTCATGTTGTTTCCGTACTCCTCTGGGTAGTTTGGAGAGAGCACCACTCCAGATGGTGCGGTGAAATTGAAGAAGCAAGAGACTGTCCAAAAAAAATGGAATATAATACATTTTTCACAGCATAAATCACTAATCCAATTAGTGCAAACAGCTACTTTTCATACATAGCAATTACTTCCTACAAATTAACACTGACAGTGCCAGGCTGGAGGGGCCTCAAAGAGCATCCTTAATCCTTTAAAGATGCTGCTGCGTTTTATTGGTCTGCGAATGCTGTTTTTGTAAAGAAATGAATAATTAAACTCAATTTAATATTCTTTTTAATATATACAGGTCCTGGTTATTATGCTGATAGCACGACAATTCTTGCCTATCACGTCGGGAGTTCAAACAGAATTTTGTAGGAAGAAATTCAAAGTACCTTGTCCCATAGAATGAACCATTTTAATTTGAAGGTGGGAATTTTGACACATTTTGACACGCGGTTTATGTGAAACCAATGAAAGCGCAGCTCTGTCAAGTGGAAGGTGGTCCTCTGATCCGAAGCAATAAAGATTATTTTACTAACCTACTTTTTCCGCAACAAATGTAATCGTGCGCGTTTGATGAATATGCCGGGCGAGTGGATGATTTAATGAGTGTATTTATGGCAATCTGCAACTATGAAAGTTCACTTTAACCCTATAACATATAAAATATTCAATGTAACACTGAGTGAAAAACTCTTCAGTGTTAACAGGTAGTCAAGTAGGTCTCCACCCATCCAGCCAACACTGTATCATTACTTTTCAATTGAGTAGATACAAAGATATATGTTGTTGGGGGCACTGACTGCTGATTCCACCAAGTTCACAAATTCAAGAGCTGCCAAGCGCATTTCTGACGTCTACCATTAAACTGCTGATCCTTTCACTTTAATCACAAAAGTGGATCGGATGAAGAAGCCCCTTTAGCCCATTTGATCTCATCCATTCACGATACCAACCCTGCCAACTTCCCATCACAGGATCAAGTATTTTTTTTAATGGGTCCAGTGTTCTGACCTCAAGTACCCTTCCTGGCAATCTGTTCCAGTTGTTAATTATCCTCTGGGAAAAGAGACTGACTTATGTTTAAGGAGAGAAAGTAAGAAGGCCATTGAACAGATTGAACCATCTCAAAACACTTCACAACAAACTGCTGTCAATGGTAGTGACTGTTTGATGTATATGCAAACATACCAGAAATTTCACTAACAGGGTTCCCCCAGACCAACCCAAAGAGCCAGTGAAAGGATTGAAGTGTTATTGAAGGGATTAAGAGTAGAGAAATTAAATGAGATAGAAATAACAAATGAAAAAGACAATTGGAAATGTGTGACCTATAACAACAAGAATTCTTGCATATGATATAGCACTTTAACAAGTCATTGAGACATCTCAAAGCACTTCACAGAATATATTGTAAAGTGGATCGAATGTGTATTTTGTGAGTAAAACGCAGCAGCCAATTGTGTACAGCAGTGTCCCACAAACAATGTTGTGGATTGAGTAACCGCATCCCCTCCACCCCAAACCTTGCAATTAGGACTTTAAGTCATTCTTACAGACACAGTTTGGTTTGTTGCCAGACCACTGGTTATTCTGTTGACACGTGATTGTTCGCTCTCCCACCAATTCAAAGGCTGACTGGCATTCAAATGTCAACGTGTCTCCATGCAGAAAACTGGTGCCTCTTCTCTTGCCGTACACAGGAATACCGGGATCACCACAACTTCCCTTTTCAATCTCTGAAAGACAGCAAGATGGAGAGAGAGAGAGATAAGTCTACGTATCAACACACAATATTCTGATTAGAACGGAGACCTTTCATTTAGCCTTTCATATTGGTTTAGCATTATGAAAAGTGGCACAAAGGCAAACACACAGAATTGTGATATCAATGTCATATATCATTAAATGTTATCAAAGGTAGAGAAATATGTCAATATAACACCGGTACTATGAAGACCTCTCTCTTCGAACATGCCTACGGTCATCTCCTCCCTTCCCCCAGCTTGGTTTCAAGCTCCACCACTGTTAAGCACTCCTAAGATGCTGACTCGCATGATATGCACTTTCAAAAAGCAGGTTGTTCTTGCTATTATGACCATGTGTGTGATTCCAGAGGGTGAGTTTTAGCTGGCTCTTGGATCATGGGAGGCGGAGGGGGAAAGGAAGCGACTGATTAGCAAGGAATCTTATCCTGACTCAATCACACTGGTATCATTTCCACCAAGGATTAAACACAGACTGAGGCCATTGAGGTCAACTGCAGCCCTCTTACTGCTGCCCCAGCTGAGATCAACTAACTCGTTATACACCATATGCTTACTTAATTTATTCTACCGTGACCACGGCAAATTTCCGACAAGATGAGAATTGATAGGGTAGCTCACAGTTTAGGGTGAGCACTCCCAGTGAAGCACCATCACCCAGTGAAGGTAATCCCATCACCCTGTGTAGGTGGATGCTAAAGATACCATGGCACTATTTGAAATGGGTTTCTCTCAATGTCCTCGTCAATAATTCTCCCGATATATTCATCATTCAAATTGCCAGTCACTACACTCAGTGGTCCAACAAATAAAAGCAATATTACTCAAAGCATGTCTCAAAACAGACCTCTTTGCCCATGCTTCTGATCAACTTTACCCTCACACCCTCCCTGGCACCTCAGATGCCATCCAGCATTCATTCACAAGTGCTTTGAGATGTCCCCTCAAGGTGAAAGGTGCTAAATATTGTATTATTTCATTGGTGACTTTTTTTNCCATTTATCTAGAAAGTATAAATGGGTGAAGGGGGACAGAGTTTAATGAACTGTCAAACAGTAAAAGGGAACACCGAGCCTGCATGGCATATCTGCGTCTCACTGTTAACAAGATAGAGCAATTTTGTGTTTTCTTTCACCCCGTTGAGAAAGCTGTATGTTACAAGGAAGCAGACAACTGAACTGAAGAGATCTCGGGCAGTAAATCTGCAGAATGCAGGAAACCACTGCAAGGTTGGCAGGTGTATCGCTCCTGCCATTAAAGCTTATTGAACTCTGCTGTTAACTGATAATGGCTTGATATATTAGAAGCTGCTTACATTTTTGGAACGGTGAGGCTATTAAAGATGATTAAATAATCATAACTTCAAAATTGAATATTTATCCAGTACAATAATTGTGACTGCTTCTGTTAGAAGCACTTAATTCACAAATCATTTTTGTAACTGTTTTTAAGGAAACAATTCCTACTTGTTTTAACTGTTTACTGTCAATATTAATTACATGATGAAAGGCTGTAATTTTTATTTCTGTACATTAAGATCGCAAACTTGCCCCTGGGCTTAATTTGCATGCTATAAAAGCTAGTAACTCATTTGTATTGTCAAGCATAAAAAAACAGCTCTGCTTGTTAATAACAGGAGCTAAATAATGTTGGGAAAAGTGAGAGCAATAGGGTAACTCTTTACAATGAAATACCTCCAGAATTGCCATAATGTAGAGTGAGAATCAGTAATTTTTTTTGACCATATCTACAGGTTTAGTCATTTCCGGCCTTTGAAATGACAGATCACAAACAGCAATTAACAGCATCAAAGAAAAGATACCGCATTTATTATGGTATCCGAATGTTATGGCTGCTTCCCCAGGCAAATTCGGCAGCTGTTTTGCACCCATCAAGGTCCCAAAGGCGACGTGAGGCGAATAATCAAATGCTAGATATGACACTGGCAGAAATTTAAAGATTCAGAAATTGGGATATTTAACAATGGTTCTGTTCTTCCCTGGTTCCAATCCTACCGTTCCCACCATCTGTACTTCATGGTCACCAATGGCTTCTCCTCTCGCCCTCACTCTGTCATGTGCCTCAGGACTCTGCCTCGGTTCCCTCCTCATCAATCTATGCAGACTCCCGCTCGGCGATGTCATCCGCAGGCATGGGATCAATTTCCACATGTATGTGAATGCCACCTAACTCTATCTTGCCGCCTCCACCCTCAAGTCCAGCATCATTGATGTCCTGGCTAATTGTCTGTCTGACATCAAGTCCTGGACGGGAGCCAACTCCTCTAGCTCAATGTTGGCAAGACAGAGGCTCCCAGGTAGCGCCTCCTCACCTCAACCGCTGACACTACCACCATTCAAGGCTGCACTCTTCACTTCACCGAGCCAATCCAAAACCTCAGTGACTTTTTTGACCTTCAGCTCTCCTTCAAAACCCACATTCATGCCGTGACTGATTCCGCCTTTCCACACCTCGGCAACACTGCCCGCCTCTGACTCTCACCACCTCAGGCCGCTGAGACCCTGATCCATGATTTCATTATGTCCCGGCTTGACTACGCTAACTGCCTGCTCACTGGACTTGCAAACTCTTCTCTCCACAAATCAAATCATTCAGAATTCTGCAGCTCGTCTCCTCTCTTGCACCAGGCTCCGCGAACCTATCAATCCCATTCTTGCCCGGCTTCACTGGTGCCCCATTCCTCAGAGAATCAAGTACAAAACCCTCACTCTTACCTTCAAGGCCCTCCATGATCTTGCTCCCCTCTATCTCTCATAACCCCATATTAGCCTGTCCGCTCCCTCTGCTCGGCGGTCACCGGCCTGCTTCAGGTCCTTGTTACTTCCCACCTCACCATTGGCAGTCAGGCATTCAGCTTCTCTGCCCCTAAACTCTGAACTCTATCCCGCAATCCCTCCACCTCACCCCCTCTCTTGCCTCCTTCAAGTCCCTACTGAAGACCTTCCTCTTCGACCTTGCCTTCAGCCACTACAGAAGATGTAGTGCGAGGAAGTGAAACACTGTCCCATATTAGGCTACACAGGGCTTGAAATTTCTTAGCCTCTAAAGTGCTTTAATATTTTTATAAATGACCTGGAATTAGGCGTCGGAAGCACAGTGGCTAAGTTTGCAGATGACACCAAGCTAATGAAGGTGGTAGATTGCGAAGCTGAAAAAGGTACCCAAACCAAACTGAGATTTCCATGCATCCCACAAATACATGGAAATCCCAGAGAACGATTTTTTGGAATGGAAAGTGCACTCTCTCCCTGGAGGGATGCATCCTACTTATTTAATTCCGGAAAGCAAAAGGCACAGTGAGGAAGAGCCAAGGCTTGGGGACCCCAGAGTGTACGTTGAGGCACTGCTGGAGTCTAACCAACTAAAATCACATAGCTTGCCATTGATATTACTACACTTTACAATAAAATCCTGTTGGAACTCTTTGAGACATTGACGACTTGATAAGGTGCCATATAAAATGAAAGTATTATTGCAATAGTGAACATTTCTTCAATACAGTTTTGATAGTCGTGTGGATAAGGTACCAGGTGATTTTGCTTTCAGCTTTTATTTCCACAGTGTTGGTACCATTATTTGGCAAGTGGACATGGCAGTAATACTCTAGCATCCATTTGCAGATACGAAGAGACTATGCAGGTGTCTTGACAACATCATAATACGATACACAATGAGGTTAACACTGCACAGGAGCAGAACTCCCTGCAGTGAGTCTCACAATATCAAGTCAGGTCTCTTTAATGCTGGAGATCCAACTCCAAGTGGATTCTTGCCAGATCCGGAGCGAGAAAAACCACCCATTGTGCATGGCTGGCTGCCTCCAGAGACAAACTAGAAATGGAAAAGCAAAATGTTTTGCCCAGCTCGGTAACCACCACTGTGTTTGTCAAACTCTTAGGCACGTTACAAATGCAAGATATTGCACGATATATATCGAAGCATTACATTTTACTTCTGTCAAATCAGCGACTACTGAGTCCCAATGCTGGAACCAAAATTCAGTGGTATTAACATCTTCGAAGAGTCTTAGCATTGGGGAAAACCACCATCCATCTAAGCAGCAGCTCTTTGCTTACAGTAAATAATGAATTACAGAAACAATAGCAAAATAATGAAGGCAAATTGAACTGTCTGAAAGAGGACACTGGCATATATTCATTTCAGAATATAATACACAGGGAATATTGCAAGTCTGTTGTAATGAACAATATCACAATTGCCTAGAACATCAGTGGACATATTAATTCCTGGAAAACATACAGCTTCAGGAGAATACAAATAAAAACAAGTCAGAAAATAATTATTATGTGTGTATTTCAATAGATTAAATGTCACCATAGGGTGAATAATCTATACTTTCCATGCATTATAAAGGCAATGGATGATCAGGCTATGTTTTCAAATGTAAGTGGCTTGAGAAAAATAAATATCATAAACTATATTTGAAATAACCATTACTGGAGGATTATTTGCAGAATGCTCACATGTAGAGCAGCAGGTTATTACCAGCTGAATAATAACAATTGCTTCACATATTTTGCACGTTAATGTAAATATAATTCAGACCTAACGGACCACAGATGTTTGGAACTGCCAGTGCAAATGTCCGTACCAGCTGTCCCTTTCAAAATGATCATTCTGAGAAATAAACACATCCTGTCAGTTCTTTCAGGTACTATTATTTGGGAGAAAGCATCCGTGCACAAGAAGATGTGGTTCTTTCAGAAACTCCGAGGCAGTAGAACAAGAGGACGCAGTTTCAATGTTGCAAAGGGCAATTTCTGAACAGACACCAGAAAGTATTTCCTTACATAGAGGTTATTTAACGACTGGGAATGCATTGCCAGGAAGAATGGTTCAGACCAAGACACTGGACTCATTTAAGAAACAGCTTGATAATATAATGGAAGAATAGGAGGGTGGGTATTCCAGAAGAATGAGATCAATGAGCC